ATGAGCTCCATTCAATAGGATTATTAAAGCTAGATGATGCGGACATCGTGAGAAAGATCATCTCCGTTCTACCACAAAAGAAATATGCAAGCATCATCACCATCCTTCACAACATGTAGAACTTGAGCACCATGACCCCGGGCATTGTCATTGGCAAGCTAGTGGCATTTGAAATGTCACGTAAGATGGGTCAAGGAGAAGCATCTTCATCAAGCAAAGGCAAAGCTCTCGCTTATAGCGAAAAGAAAAAGATGAAGGGCAAGAAAGTTGAGTCAAGCTCAAGCTCAAGCTCCTCAAGTGAAGAAGAAGAAGATGAGGATGATGATGATGAACAAGAATCAAGTGATGATGATCAATCTTCCTCCTCCACCTCCGACCTTGATGAAGAATCAATCAAATTAATCAACAAGGTGGAGAAGATGATCCAAAGGCTCAATGTCAAGGGTGTGCCCATCCAAATTCAAGATCTCATTTTCACCAATCAAAGAAATGAGCAAAGAAAGAGAGGATGCTACTAAAAGACGAGATGGGGCACTTTGTGAAAGTTTGTCCAAACAAGCCCACACCCAAGACAAAGAAGAAGGCGTGCAAAAACAAAGCCCTCACAACAATAAGGTCATGGGATGATTCTTCAAGTGAAGAAGAAAACCATCACAAGAGGCGAGGTCATAAGCACTCATCATCAAGCTCTTCTCGTGTGTGCCTTATGGCACGAGGTAACGAAAAGCTCATCCTCTAGTGAGAGTGATAGTGATGATGATTTGCCTTCTTACAATACAATTGTGCAACAAAATCTTAAATATGCTAAAGTTTGCACTAGTCAATAAAAGAAGCTCAAAACTTTAAAAGAAGAGCTAAGTAGTTCACAAGAAGCATACAAGAATTTGCTTGAACAATATGAAAACTTTGCAAATCTCAATGTTGAACTATCTACTAAAATTGAGCAACTTGAGGCTAGTGCAACAATAAGTGCATGCACAATTAATGATAAGCAACTTGAAAAGAAAAATGAAAAATTAAAAGAAAAGTTAGCTAGCTCACAAAATGATTATCAAAGTTTGCTTGCTAAAATGGAAATCATGTGCAAACATTGTGATGAGCTAACAAATCAAGTTGCTAATCTTGAGGCCATAAAAAATACCCCCACCAAGGCATCTAAAAGAAATGACATAATTAAAAAGGATGCATCTACCTCTTGCAATGATTTATGTTTAGACTCACCTTTGTGCAACCAAGCTTGTGTTAAGAAAGTGATTGTAGATACATGCACACAAGAAGTTGCAAAAGAAAATGAGCAACTCAAGCTAGAAGTAGCTCGCCTCACCAAGGACTTGACTCAAATGAAAGGCAAGGCGAAGCAAACCTAACTTCATCAAGATAACACCGTCAAGGGAGTGAAGAAGCTTGATGAAGGACAAACCGTAGTTTGCTACGTGTGCCACAAAGAAGGCCACAAGTCCTATGAGTGCAAGGTGAAGAATGGGGGAGGAGCAAAGAAGAAGGAGAAAAAGGAAACAAGCAAGCTCTCCAACACCTACACCAACAAGGTGGACAAGAAGGCCTCCACACCTTATCTCTTGAAGAAGAAGAAAAATGACAAGGTGGTGGCCATCAAGGTGAACAAGCAAGCCAACAATGGGATCAAACGCTTTTGGGTGCCAAAGGAAATCATTTCCAACATGAAGAGCACCAGAAGGTTTGGATCCCGAAAGGGAAGTAAGAAGTCCGTCGGTCCTCGGGGAATTTGGAGGCTTGGCAAAGTATGGGTGCATTTCATGGGGTGCATCATGTTGGACAAAGTCATTGCCAAGTGGGTTAGTGGATACTATGGACCTAAATTCCCCTTCCCATGTTAGGTAATTAGATGTTATTACTTTTTAATTGGTACATCTTGCAATTAGATTTTCCTACAATTGGTATCTTTAAGCATCTAGTTACTCCTCATGCCTAGGGTTGCATTTGCATGCTTATATCTTTTGTCATGCATACACTAGGTATTTCATATGGTAGGCTTGCTCGGTCTCATTTGTAACCCTTGGAGCAAACCTACATGGTTTAAAATTGCTTAGGAGCACGGCACATAGCTTGTCTCACTATTGTTTATCTAATATGTGCCAAAGTCCAAATTGTAGATAATTTTCTCCCAAATATCATCTTTCAAGTGGTATTTTGACTCCAAAATCAATTATGCATGAGTACTTCAAGTATTCCATGTCTCCATGCACAAATTTAGGGGGAGGATCATCTACAAGATGGACGCTTTGAGACTAACACCTTTTTCAAGTTTATCATGTGTGTAGTAGTCTCATTGCAAGGAAAATGAAGTCCCCGAAGAGAAGCATCGTTCTTCAATTGGCATCATCATGTTGATTTCATTTCATATTTATATGCTTTCTCCATGCATTATATAGATTAAACTCTCTTGTGTAACAAATTGCTAATTATGCATATGCTTTGCTTTCTACCATATGTATACATATATTTAGGGGGAGCTTAGTCTATATAATGCGAGAGTCAAATTTTGTGATCCATTTCTCTCTATACACAAAGGATCATGAAATTTGACCCTCCCTTGTGCTACTAATGTCTTCCTTTTTAGTGTTTGATGCCAAAGGGGGAGAATTTGAAGGACCAAAAGCAAGCATCAAGTTGATGTCTACAAGTGGTAATGGTCTGAGAAAGGAGGAAAGTGAATTCTGGATTAGTCTATGTAATGGGAGAATTTTTTTTAGAAAGATAGGCTTTAATCCATAATATCACATGGGGACATTTGCAAGGGCAAGACATGCTTTTGAGTAAAGTTTTAATTGGTATCTATCAATTAGTATCATATAACCTTTCCCTTTGCATTGCATCCTAGCAAGTAGATAATTTTTAAATTTAATTTTTTTTTATCATTTGCTTGCTTTGGTCGTGTTGTCATTAATCACCAAAAAGGGGGAGATTGTAAGGAAAATGGACCCTTGGCCCATTTACTTTGGATTTTGGTGTTTGATGACCAACACAACTAAATTAGACTAATGAATTTGCAAGTGTTTGTTTTGTAGTCCAATAGGGTGCAAGACGTGACTTGGACGAAGACGACGTGATGATCCGATGATCAACACCTCGAGCAAGACTTTAGAAGCACAAGTGAAGACCCAAGATATCAAGCAAAGTCCAAGCATGAAGATAGGAACCAAGCCGTACGCAAGATCACGAAGAAACGAGCTCGCAGAGGCGACCGGACGCTGGACCGGACGCTGGAAGCGCGATCGGACGCTGGACCGGTGGCTCGGTAGATAGGCGACCGGATGGAAGGACCAGACGCTGGCGGCAACCGACCGAACGCAGGAACGCAGCGTCCGATCGTCAGTCTGAGAGGTTCCAGCGCTGCTGAATCGCGACCGGACGCGTCCGTGGAGAAGCGATGACGGACGCTGGCGGCGTCCGTCGGCGGCAGCTCAGCGGTTGTTGGTCGGGACAACCGGACGCGTCCGGTCAGGACGATTCAGCGTCCGGTCAGTAGCAGATTTGCGGGAGTTCGACCCCAACGGCTACTTTCTCAGTGGGGCTTATAAATACAACCCCCAACCGGCCATTTGAGAAGAGTGGAGCTGAGGAAACATACCAAGGGTGTTGATACACCATTTTAGTGATCTCCACTTGCTAAGTGCTTAGTGTTTCATCGTGTGATTAGCGAGGTGCTGCGAAGTGCTTAGGTTGATTAGACCACCGCTTATGCGCTTGCTATAGGTATATGCCTAGTGTTTAGTGAGGTTTGCATACCTCTTGCCACCCGTGCTTGCGAGCACAAGAGTTGTACATCGGAGGGGCTTGAAGTCTTGCGAGATCGCACCAACCGCGTTTGTGGTGCGGCCGCCACCGTGTCTAAAGAAGGAACAAGGCCCATGCATTTCGGCCAAAGCTTGATAGTGAAGGCGGCGGGGAGCATCCGGGAGAGGCTTCTTGGGAAGGCACATCGGAGACCCACTTTATGCGTGGGGAAGGCCCGAGGCTATCCACGGAGTTACCCGACCGGGAGCTTGGCCCTTGCGAGGGATTCCTTGCGAGGGGCTCCAACGAGGACTAGGGGAAGCTTGCGCTTCTCGATACCTCGGTAAAAATCTAGGAGTCGTCGACGGAGTTTGCAGATCTCTACCTTGCTCTTTAAGCTTCCGCATTTACATTGATCATATTATTATCATTTGCGGTAGAGATAGCAACACACTAGCAAAACCACAGTTAAACATCTAGATAGATTATCTTTTGCATAGGTTTTGCTAGAGGTAGAAAAAGAGGCCTATAGTTTAGAGTTAGTTTTTTAAGTTGCCTAATTCACTCCTCCCTCTTAGGCGTCCACGTGTCCTACAGTAGCCGCAAATCCTATCGTCGCGCGTCGGCTTCCAATCGTCGTTGCCTTCAATCACCGGCGTCGCCTTCAATCTACGCGGCCACCGCCTCTCTGCCCATTGGCCGCCAATCGCCGCCACGCCGGCCTCAAGGCCATGAGCCCGGCTCGATCGCCTTGGCCTGCACAAGGCCCACTGTTGCCTGCAGCGTGCCTCCGATCGCCCATGCCTGCCTACCGCCTTGACCAGCCACCTCCTCCACTCTCCAGTTCTAAGGTTTGTTGAGAGAGAAAGGGGAAGAACACAGGAGGAAGAGAGACGGGAGGGAGAGAGAACACGGGAGGGAGAAGGGAAAAGCACGGGAGATGGATAGATGCGGCTTCAGTCGTTCGCCTCTCCCTTTCCCTCTTGTCCAGGGGGGATTTTGGTTCAATACAAACATACAAGTGTTGTAAATGGGTCAAGAAAGCTTCGTACCTAGAAAAAGTAAAGCTCAGAAAAGACAAGAATATAAAGGGTAAATCTCTAATTCCTCAAATTATAAGAACAAATCTGCTAACTTCTGAAAATAAATCACGACTGGGAGGGAGCCCGAACGACGCTCCAAAATTTTCCCCACCCAACCACTCCTGTCCCGTTCCGCTCCGCCGCAGCCGTCGACCGCACGAGATGTCGCCGGCCGAGGACGCCCCACCGCAGACCCCGCCTCCCGCGCGCGGGACGGCGGCCGGATCGCGGGTGCTGCTGCAGTCGCCGCCTCCGGCGTTCCCGCTCGGCTCCAACGACGACCAGCAAGAGCGCGCCCGCGCCCGCGCCGCGGCGCGTGCCGCCTCCGTCCGCCGCCGATCCCTCGCCGCCTCCATCGCGCCCTCCAAGGATCCGCGCCACGACCTCCTCAACCGCGAGCAGGTCATGGACCTCTTCCACAACTGTATCAAGCTCGCATCCGAGAACGTAGGTGCCTAGCCCGCCTCCCAAACCTAGCCCGCTCCCTTCCTCTCGCTAAGCTTGTTCGTTCCGTTCTTTTCCGGGGAAATTTTGGCAGAAAATTAACCAGAAGAACACGTGGGAGCTGGGCCTAATCGACCATCTGAGCGAGATCATCCAAGCGGGGGCGGACGAGGACGAGGAGACCAACTTTCAGAAGGTACCGACCTGTAAAGATATTCCATTTCCTCCTCCCTTTGATCTTCTTACAAATCTGTCTAAAAGGAGATTCGTCCACTGTATTTCAATTTGTTGGCAATAATGTGGTACTTTTACGGACCAGGCAAGTTGCACACTGGAGGCGGGGGTCAAGATCTATTCACTTCGTGTGGATTCGGTGCACTCTGAAGCTTACAAGGTGCTTGGCGGGATCAACCGTGCCGGAAGGGGTGAAGAGGCTGGTGAGGATCCACTGGAACTTTAATGGATTCTGATCTGTACCACTTTGAGTGCAGTTTTAGTTCTTTATTAGGGGGCTGTATCCAGTGCAAATTACATGCTCTTATGCTGTAACTACTCGAGTTCAAAATTCAAAAATATTGTTGAGTTTCACTAAACTGCTCTTATGCTATTATGGTCTTCTAATTTGGTGATTGCTGAAAAAGATTTGGAGAAAGGAAAAAAACAAAACCTGCACATTTTTGCTTCTTTAACTTAGTCTGCATCCAGTGCAATTGGTCTATGCTGAGTATCACTAAACTTGAGTTAAAAACTCTAAAGTGAGTTGGCATGCAGTATGGTTTTATGAGTTAATGAAAAGGTCAATGTTCTAACTTGATTGGAAGATTATATATGTTAAAAGACCTTTTCATTGTTGCCCATGTTAGAACTGTCCTGTTTTCTGCTATTCCTTTGGTGAAATTGCTCAACTTACATTGATATGTTACACAGCTTTACACAACCTGTGCACTCACAGGTTATGAACCTTCTGCAAAAGACTATTAATGAAATTGGAGCATTTGCTCTTTTCTTACAGTTTTTGTGCTTAAAATAGTTTTGCACTCCTGTTTACTTTATTATATCCTTAGATAATATAATGCTGTTTCATGATGATGTTCTGAATTGGTTGTTGCCATTAAAGATTTGGAGGAAGGCAGCAATGTTGAACCTGCACAGGATGAAGGCATCAACAAAAGGGATGCTGATAGGAGGGTACATCATTTTGAATGGAGTGCTTATTTCTTCACTTCAATTCTGCTTCATTATGTTAATGCCTTTTCATTCATGCAGATTTCACCTGCTTCAACGTTGGAGTCATCATTTGAGGCTCTCAATGTAAAGAAATTTGATGGTAAGTTTCAAGCTTATTCTCACTATGCTCTTGTTGAAAACTGTTCTACCATGGAGCTGAAATCTGCGCTTACTACTAGTTGCTTTCACGGTGGATCCTCTATACCATCAAACTACCGCTCAGTTTGATGAAGGTGGGGCAAAGGGCCTTTTGTTGTATAACCTTGGAGTTTATGGCAGCTGCCATGTGCTGTTTGATTCATTTGAAGCTCCAGACAAATGCATCTTAAGTGATATGCAAACTGAGCAGGCTGAGGCAATTGACCTTTCATTTGCTAAAGGTAATATCATTAGTCTGTTACTTGCTTCTCTTTATGATCTTTGCATCTTGCTTTCAATGGGGTGTCAGTTAAGTTTCTACCCTTGGACAGAGCAAATTGTGGAAATGGTCACTCAAATGCGTCTATGTAATGATATTTCTCCAACTCTAAGGGATATTGTTGCTCAATTTGATGAAGAAAACCAAAGGCCATCACATAGGTTATCTCCTGGTCAAATGCCAGTAATGGAAGATCCGATGGATTATGATAATGAAGCAGACGATAATGATAGCATGCTACCTGATTCTGGAACTTGGCATTTTGGTGGTTGTCATGACCATGAGGATGCATATAATGAAAACTGCAACCCAATGGATTCCATCTCAACAAACTATCAAGAGGTATTTTCCTGCGGACTAGGTAAAATGTGGCAAAAATAGTCATGGAAGTACTAGTTAATTGTAGAACATATTCATGTATTTCCAAAATATTCGTGTCCAATAAATATGTTGCTGCAGTTTGATACTTACTACAGATTCTCTGTTTGCCATCCATCTAAATACATTGAGATTGAATTGCTGGTCAAAACTTATTTTACCATTATGTCCATATGCAGGAATTCAATGAATACACTGTTGAAATTCCTCAGGGTACTATTGTAGATGAAAGGCTTGACAAAATTGCAGATCTTTTATTACTTGGCATGGGCTCTTCAAAAGCAAATGCTTGGGCAGGACCTGAGCACTGGAAATATCGGAAAGCTAAAGGTACTGTCTTCATTCGTAGTCCTCTTGGGTTTTTATCAAGGTAGCATCGTTTAATGTTTGAGCTCGCATTTATCTAGATTTGGAGGCTGTTCCAACTTCATCTGGTGATTCAGAAATAACAAATAAGATGAAGAAAAGATCCAAGGATAAACCTGACATTGATTTCACAAAAGCATTGGACAATGAGCATCCAAATATCTTTGCAGCTCCCAAAAATCCAAAGTCATTAGTATTGCCTGCAAACAGGGCTATGTGCAGCAATAAACTTCCAGAAGATTGCCATTACCGGCCTGAAAGCCTTGTTAAATTATTTCTTCTTCCAGATGTTTTGGTAATGTTTACTTCTCTTGAATTTTTTCCTTCTCAATGATCTGTAGTACCTTTTGAGAGACAATGACCTACTATTTGTAATAACTGTTGGAACTCCTTTTTTGTAGTGTCTTGCTAAGAGAAGAAGAAAATCACTTGGTAAGTTTCACAAACTTAGATATAAGTAAAGGAATTTGCTTGTTAATTTTATCAGTATACATGCTATTAAAAATCTGCCATATATAATCAAGAAGCCTTGAAGCAATCTTGAAACTGGGAAACCATTATTTAGCAAAGGTGTGCCCAGCCTCATTTGTTTTTGTTGTTTGCTGGGGGTGGGGCAGTGGAGGTTGTCAATTTCTGGATCCTGAATATGCAAGCAAGTTGATAATTGACACTGTATGGAGAAACAAAACTTTGCAGTTTATTCTACTTACATGTTACTCCCTCCATCCTTATAAGGTGTCATTTGACTTGGTGCGGTCTTCAATATCACACTTTGACTGTTAATTTCTCTTATAAATTATAATATACTCCCTTCATTCAAAATTATAAGACGTTTTGGCTTTTCTAGATACATTACTTTTACTATGTATCTAGACATAGTGTATATCTAAGTGCATAAGTGCATAGCAAAAGCTTCGTATTTAGAAAAGTCGAAACGTCTTATAATTTGAAATGGAGGGAGTAGTAAAATTTATGGCAACAAAAGTTTGAGCATTAGAAAGTATTTCTAAATACAAATATGATATAACCACTTTTGTAGTACAAACTATTCATACGATTGGACTAATTTTTTTTGTCAAAGATAACAATGTTTGCATTTTGGAATCCGTGCATAACTTATATTTCGGTGCGGAGGAAGTAGGTAGCATCCCAGTGAGCTGTTACTTTTTTGAACCAATGTACTCTCTTCATTCCAAATTGCAAGTCGTTCTAACTTTTCTAGATACATAGCTTTTATCATGTATCTAGACATCTAGGTCTAGGTGCACAACAAAAGCTTATTTTTTAAGATTTTTCATTCATTTGTTACAGTTCAACCATGTGAGTGCTGAGTGCTGACACTTGTATTTTAAAATCTTCTATTGCCAATTTCTGCATTGCATTATTTTCCTGATAAATATTGTTTGTATGTAATACATTTCTTGTTGTAGACGCTCCAATGGATAATGATGATGACTTTATCCCATCTGAACCTTGGGAAGATGACAACTTTTGCACTGATCACGTTGATGAAGGACATGTGTGTAGTGATGTAGAAGAGCCCGTAAATCTTATCAATAAACCGAGACAGGTGAGTTCCTTGTTCTATTTGTTTCCTTTTAAGATATTTGTTTCCCCTTGGGAACTTGTTTATTTGACAATTACGTGGTGTTTTGTTTTGCTATTTTTCTGTATGGCATTTTACCCCTCCATGAATTGGTCAAAGGCAATAGAAAAAATTACACAAATATCTCCATGAATTGGCACTTTACTTGGGGCTTGAGGGCTCCCCCTACATTCTGAGCCCTCAAAATTTTATATCAGCTCCAGCAATAGCTCCTACATCATTGCCCTCAAATTCGTGGGACCCACCAGGCCACCAGTCATTGGGTATAGTGTTTTTTTCTTCTCCCTCTCCCTCATCCACTAGAAGAGCCCGCGTTAGCGGAGGAGGCTGAGGCGAGGGGAGTGGCATTGGGAGGAGGCCACGCACCATGGGGTCCACACTAGGGGAGCAAGCGGCGTGGGGAGGATGCCGTGCCGAAGAGGAGCAACTGCGCCACGCCAGGGAGGAGGTAGCCGTGTTGGGAGGAGAGGGAGCCACACCAGGGAGGATGTGTTCGTGCCGGGGGACAAGGTAGTCATGCCGGGAGTGGATGCCGGGAAGAGGTAGCTGAGCCGGAATTGAGCTTTTGTCGGGGAGGAGGGAGGCTGATGCCAAGGATGCTGGATCCGCATCGGGGAGCTGGGACCTCGGGATGATTGGAGGCTAGGGTGGGGGGAGGCACGCTGAATCTGTGGCTTGGGGACCGGCTAGAGTGAAGAAAAACATAAATAGGCCATGTTTGGAACCGCTTATATGAAAATCGATTATAATCTGATCAGGACGATCCAAAAAATTTAAGCATAGAGAATCAAGGTGTTTGGTAATCCTGATCATTGTGGCAATCCCTGGGACTGCCCCTCACCACGCCGCCGTCCGCGGCTTCGTCGCGGGGAGAAGGGAGGCGCGCCTGTGCAGGACTAGGGGAGTGCCAAACCGAGGGGAAGATGGGAGGGAGGGAAAGTCCAGCCGCGCACGGGCGTGCACCGGTGCGGGAGCTGGGAATGGCGGCCCACGGAGCGGTCCACCGTGCGAATGAGGGAAGAGGTAACGGCTGGAAATCGGCTCGCGGTGGATGAAACGCGAGCGATTGCTCACGGCATAGAGTGACTGTTACAACCGCTGCGGTGAAAACAATTGAAAAATATTCTGCACGTTTGGGTGTGATTCTCGCTTATTTTGCTCTAGAATCTAATTATAATCGGGAACAAACAGGGCCATAGCCCCCCTCCCCCTCTTCTGGAATGAGGGATTGAAGGGGAAATTTGAGGGTCTCCTACTTTTGATGGCCGAAGTAAGGGGGCCCTGTTGGAGTGCGCTTTTTTTGCCATTTTGGCCCTCAAAAATAGAGTAGGAGCTTGGATATGGGCCATACTGGAGTTGCTCTTAGTTGAAGGGCTAATGTTCCTTTTTGATAGAAAAACTACCCTATCGACTTCAAAGCAGCAACTTAATGTTGCATATTCGTGGTATATCAATAACTTTGGTTATGACCAAGTTTGAGCTAATGCCTGTTTGTTTCTTGAACCAAAGGTCAACAAGATTGATATACAGTATGACAAGGTATCAAAACAAGTGGATGTTCATGCTTTAAAAGAAGTGCTCTGGAATCACATCCATGCATCTGCTGAGACTAATGGTCAGGTAAGGCAAATGCTTGTGTTGAATACTGTCATCAAATGATTTCGTGTAGTTTTGTCTTAATCATACATCTGAGAGTAGATGAGCTGTGGCATCCCATAGGAGGACTGTATGAAGAAGAGATATTTGAAAATTTTAGTCATTTACAATTACAGATGATTACTAAACTCTTAAGTAATGCTGTGGTAGCCTATAGTACTAGTCACTGGATAGCACTACAGCATCTAAGCAAAAACAATATGTTGCCAATCGTGCTGGCATAATGATCCATTGTCAAAATGAGTACAATTGCCAATTATTGGCTCTTGTTCCAGAATTGTATTTGAACTAAGTTTTTATGTTTGTGAAATTTGATTTTTTTAGCATACTGTAAAAGTTGATGAAAACTGTTTACTAATAATAACAATCAGGAGTATTGATAATAACCTAATGATTATTCTTGATGCACTGGTTTCTTATCCCCACTAATTGCCAGCACTGTCATTAATGGGAACACAAAACATATTTTAAATAACTCTGCTATGTTGCAACAAGCTTCCAAGTGCTGATTCTTCCCTTGTATCCAGTGTTTTAAAGGCGTCGCCTAGGCGTCTAGCGTACCCAGCTCGCCTTGGGAAACAGTGGCGCCTTGTCGCCTAGCCGTCCAGGCGTACCCAACACTCGCCTGGACGCTTAGCCGCCTTTAAAACACTGCTTATATCATTGTGACCAATTTGGCAAATTTGTGAAGTTACTGAAGTGTCCTTGGTTATTTGGCATACAATACAATAAACTGAAGAGATTCAGGAAAAGAAACTTCTCGCATACATAAATCTTTTGAGGCAGCAACATGAGGCCATGGCAGGTGTAATGGTTGAAACTTTGTACTCAACATAGGCCATTCTTAGTTTTTATTGACAATTTCACATCAATAGATTTCAATTATAGCTTATTGACTCAGTTTCTATTGAGGCAGTTGGCCACAACCACTCAGTCCAAATAGGCCATTCTTGATTTTTCTTGTTTGTGACGATTATTTATAACAATACAACATTTGATTTGCTCTTTGCCCGGCAGGAAAGAGAGGAAACTGAATCACCGCTGTGCCTATCTCAGGTGTTACATGATCTTCCAAGCAGCAACTCAGATGCTGTATCAACTGATATTTCGCCACACCTGTATTTCATCTGCCTTTTGCATCTGGCAAATGAGCACAGTTTGAAGCTGTGTGACCACCCCACGTTGGATGAAATCGACATATACATGCTGACTTCACCGCTTGTGAAGTAAACCATGCTGTGGTTCAATGTGTTGTATGTTGTTTTGCCATGGAAGCCACCGTATATTATTACGTGCTTTTGCATTGCATCATGTAATATATATAGGAAAAATCCTCGCCTGCTATTTTATTCATGACAACTATTGTACCGGGGAAGCTAGCTATTAACTTAATCCTTTATTTTGCTTATCAATGGATCTAGATAAGATACTTGGCAGCCTAAACTAACACATGATTAGAAGTTTCTGATGACGGTATAGAATTTCTGGCTATTGGGTAGTGATCTCAGGTCATTTGAATGTTGTTTACTTCTGAAAATCGCAACATGTCTCCGTTGCTGCTAATGTGACTGTCTTGACACGCTCACAGCTCACTGGTGAAGGCCTCTAAATTAAATGAAAATATAGTTTTTAAGCAGTGATGTTCTGGCACATATCTCAATGTATTTGAATACATTGGTTTGAATTATGGAAATTCTTTATTAGAATACAATGATAGTGGAAGAAATGATACTGCATTGACTTTTTGGTCCATGGATCTGGCCTTTCTGTGATTACAGTTAAAACAATGCCAAATATTGAATAGCAACATCCAGCCTAAATATGGTCGACCTTAATCATAAATTTTGCACCCATTTTGTAATGGTCAATTCAGATCGTTCAGTGCATGCTGTGGATAGAAAGTAAAGTAGTATTGTATATATATTACCACAAATCATACACCTATAGGCGTCAACTCTAATTGCCACTACATGTCAGTTTACAGAGGCAAAACATACACCTATAAACCAGTACCTCCAAGTACTAAAGTAGTAAACCTGATGAAAGTACACTACAGAGTACAGATCCAAAATCGATCATCGGAAACAAATATATGAAAGTGAACTTGGTTCGCTGCCCAAGCTTGTTTGCAAGAGGGATAAAACTGGTCAGTAGTCACTCGAACTCGAACTCGCCAATACCCTTCTGACCAGCAAGGATCCTTGAGATCTGGAGGCCCCGGCTAAATGCCTGGTTAAACAGCAGCCGTGTCTGGAATTCAGAGACGAAGGGGAACCATGACAGGAAACCGATGGGCAGGAAGAGGATGAGACCCATTATATTCTCGTATGACCTTCCGAGCTCCATGATGGAGTCCCACAGCATGGTCCTCTTAATCAATGGTGAGCATGCTTGTCCAATCTGCAAGCAAGAAATCATAAAAATAATTAGGCAAGACTGAGACAGATGGAGTCTATCAGGGCAAAATTTGCTGTTAGAAAAAAATATTGGTACTTATAAAATGATACAACCACCTAACGTGTTCTTGACCAATGCACTTTCCAATCAACTGCATCTTTTTGATTCATTGATTCTTTACTCATCGTGGCATTGAACTATTTTGACATAGCCTCACCCTGCAGTAGCCTCAGCACACTATAGTATTTTTTTTCTAGTTAATTCCATAAGATATAGTTCAAACTCAGGCACTCTGTTTTTTCCTCTCTTTTTTATTAGGCACCATCCATTTGTGTGCAGGTTGGAATGTTGTTTCAGCTTTTAACTACTTTTTTTTATACATGAAAAGCTTAACTACCAAACTACTTGGTAATTGGAGTGCTTCACTCACCAGAAGAAGACACCATCCAGTAGGCAAGTATCCAAGGATACTAGCGAAGACATCAGAAATAGTAAGGTGTAAGACAACAAATAGGACTGCCATCACAGAGACAAAGCCAAGGAAGAGAAGGCCCTTGAGAATGCGGAACATAAGCTGCAGGTCTGTTCCAAATTTTTGCCGCCCTATTGAAACCATCTAAATAAAAGGAAGAACATGCAGTCAGTAAGAATTTAAGCACTCCGGTAGCTAGACCAAATGGAAGGCCATAGTCTTACCTTCAGCACTACTAGAACAAGGAGCATAACCACCCATGACACTGCATATACCTAGAAATAAAAAGTGGCATGACATAAAGATAACAGGTAAAGATTATAAAAGAGAAACAAACCAGATCATCTTTGAACAGGTTACCATAATGCTTTTGTGGTGATCTGCTATGTTCAGATGGTAGACAATACCATACTGGTAGATCAAAAATCGAAGTGAAAGGATGATTTCCAACAGAAGGGCTCGGATGCTAGTCTTCCTGAGGTGTTCTTGCTCACCTACCCACCAAGCTTCCCAGCTCTGTTCCACAGACATGCCAATACCCCCTCGGTTACCCATCCACTTCCTCCAATCTGTCCAGTCATCAACAGTCTTCTGCCACTCAAAGCACGATGGATTGAAGATAAATGGTGCGAAGAGCCATGAAGCAACAAGGATCCATATGGAGCAGGTGACAAATAGGTATAGGCTTGAGCTGCGATAGGATCTTCCGTAGACTAGATATACAACCAAAAGTATCAAGAGTTCCAGTCCTTTAACAAAGTGGCTACGGGAGTACATACGATAATTTTCAGCAAACTTTGCATGGTACACAACGAATCCACGGCCTGTAGGTCTGTATTTTGCACCACCATGGAGTATTGTTCTCCCATAGTAGTGGGTTTTGGTGCCAAGCTGGAATGTGAAGAACACAGAGGCCAACTGAAGCTGCATGATTACAAACTCTCCTAACGCTGTGCGGAACCCTTTCTCTAAGCCAACTTCCATGACCATAGGGAGGACAAGCAGCAAACCTAGCTGGAAAATAGACTGTGAAGCCAGTGCATTTTCGAGAGCCTTGACATTCTGCTGATTTCGTGGATCCAGCATAATAGACCTTTCCAGACCACTCATAACCAGATAAAGCCTCCCATACAAAAACACATAGACAGTAAGTACAGTAACCTGAAACAAGGAGCTATGGATCAGTATCATAAAACATAGGGGTGGGCATACAACATTTAGATACAAGTTTAAACTCTCTCAATCATGACACTTTGATTTTGCACAAGGACACCAAAACACACACTATCTTTGTTGATAATAAAGAAATACTCAGGAAGAAATTTCAACATATTTTAACATGGAAGACTATCAAAATTTTACTGTTTGGCAATTCAGCATGCTGTTGAGGAAACAATGACATAAGGTCAGATTAACTCTACTTCTGTTCCAGCAGCTGGGATAACTCAGAATTAATTTATTTTTCTCCTTTTAACTTTGCAAAAAAGACCTTGTAGTTTAGGTTTTTCTTTAAATTCCAGTAGGGCTCTCCTTACTTTTTGCATAGAAGGAAGAGAAATTCATAGTGTGATATCTGATCATAAGGTTTTAGATATGATTTATTATTTTAGTTTCTTACCATGCTACTGAAATAGAACCCAACTGTAGTAAAATAGAAAGATAACATTCTGTAGAAGTCAAATCTACGTCCAAGCCGATAAATGTCACGGCTTAATGTTTGTTCACCGTTGCCATTGGCCACCTTAGCTTCGAAGCTAGAAATCTGATTCATCCCCACATCACGCCCCTTACCAACTTGCATGTATTCGTGATGTGTAACATTTCCTCCTCTCATGGTTGAATTAAAACCTACGAATATCAAGTTTTGTAAGTGCTGACAAGTTAAGGAACAAGTGCAAGTTGTTTCACTGAGACGCATGTACCTGAAAAGATATCTTCACTCAGATTTATAGTCTTTGAAGCTTTACTTATGCCTCCTCTGGTGATATGGAAGAGTCTATCAAAAATATCTGGGTGGCCATAATGGAACCGAACCCTGTTTTCAAGCAACCATGAACAACAAAAACACAGCTTTGTCGCAAAAAGAAAGCAATAACATGATGTGAAGAAAATGTGCACTTTGACACACATGAACAAACATGAAAAATACAAAATCAGTCATTATTCAAAAAACACGGAAAGAAATATCAAATCAAGGTATTTCCATTTTAATCTTGAAATTTTCGTAGTTATCTGAGACTTGTAGTATCATCTAACAGCGAGTTCCTCTCCACTGCAGCAAACACACAATCCTCTCTTGTTCTCTCTAGAGCCCAAATCCAATGCCCTTTCCAGTTTCAGTAGATTGGAACACCGAAACAGTTATCCTGTACCTTTCTTTCTCATTCACCGAATCAACAGAATGAAAGAGTGATATCAAATTTAAAAGGGAAAAACAGACTGAAAGAGCAAGATAACAGCTTCAACAGCCATGCTGACAGCAGTATTATATACACCTCTCCGCCCCCCAGAGTGGACCTGCAGTAGACTTTAGGCCAACTGCTCTTGCTCATGGAGACTAATGTTCAAGACAAGATGGCAATTTGGGATGAGTCAGAACTAAAATTTTGAACAAACAATTGTGTTGTTCTAATTGAACCCCACACTGTTTATTATAGGAATTATCTGAACCAAATTTTGGACTAACTCTTAAAGACTTCATCTCTATTTACTCCCATCTCCAATCTGGAATAGAAATAGTATCCTATACCTAACAACAGGACACTTTCTTGAGCCTCTTTTAAATTGTATTATGGTCTTATCAGAATCTAAATGTGAGTTCTCACTGAAGGAAAAGAAGGGACACATTCATATACTTGAGCCTTGAGGTATACCACATACAAAACCAGAAATACAAATAACGGTTCCCCATCGATATGTTTAAGCACATATATACAATTTGAATAAATTTTCAATCAAAAGAAAACAATCAATTCAATCTATATTGTTAAATAGTCCAGATAAATAGTGTGTGTGTATGTGTGCACGCTATATTTATATCTATCTGTTCTATTTATGGTCCTCTGGAACTGTGGAAAACAAGAGGTATTATGGGATAAATAGTCTAAATAACTCTAGCTGTACAGTTCATACACAAGCTTAACATATATCAACATGAAATAAAAGATAGATTTGCATACTTGAGAGGATTTGCCAGAACTCTTTGCCCAATAGTAACAAAACTGGTCTCTTGATTGGACATAAACCAAGCCAGTGACGAAACACTAAAATAGAAACACAGCAATGTTATTAGCACTCATACCTTGCATATAAATGGCATGAACAAGACACTTAAACAAATCTTTAGGTATATGGGCATACCTTCCAGTAAAAATGTGCTCACGTAGGCCTAATATAGTGGGTTTGCTCTTCCCATACTTTTTACTCTCATCAAACTCCTCCAGCACATTTCTCATTTTAAACGCCTCCTCAATATAATTATCCTAAGGAGTAATTAAAATAAATCAGTACTACTTTATTACAATGTGTACCATGTGGAATTCAAAACTAAACCTGATTCATATCAATGGCCTGAAGTGCTTCTCCCCTGGTGAAGATGATAGCATGATTTTGGTTTTCAGGTTTTCCCTCTCCAATATCTGTTGGTCTGCCGGGAAGCTTTATGCGGTAAATTTCCTAAAACAAAATTTGCAGAGTCAAGAATGAAAATGGCATCTGATTTAATCACATGTACACGGAAATAACACAATGGTGCTAACCCCGAGCATTTATATTGCATGAATCGGTGTAGATACCTTGATAAGAAACTACTTATATATATATCACACACTATTTAGTAAAAGAGCCAAAGGGCCTCTAGTCCAACTGGTTAGAGCGTCCCAACGGCACTCCTCAGGTCCTGGGTTCGACTCCCCGTGGGAGCGAATTTGAGGCTGGGGTTAAAAAAATCCCCTCGTCTGTCCCACGCCAAAGCACGGGTCTAAGGACCCGCCCGTTCTCCTGTGTAACAAATAGGGTGCGCGTGCTTTCTAATGGCATGTAAGGGGGGCATGAGGGTTCGGGGTTTTTACCCGGGCCTACACGTGAAGGTCTTCTTAATGCAATTCCTAGGGGTGGTCATACCCTCGCAGGTCCAGTTTTTTTTTCTATTTAGTAAAAGATTCTTTTGTAGGAGTATAACCTTAGGAAAGCATTATTGTTATGACATAGTCAACTCCAATTGCAAGGACTCCCAAGCACACGTATTAACTACAAAGAAAATAGATAATAGAAGGCTTGTTATTTAACATAAGATAGGCTATATACCAATGTCAACCAAGCCAATCCTAACAACTGGATTTTCATATAACTTCATTTACCAAATCCAAAAATTTTGGAAATGAAATGAGTAAAAATTCAAAACTCATATTGCTCTTTTCTATTTTCCATATGGGTTGCCCAGGACTTATGACTTCATGTGTTATGCAAAGGCAAGTGAATCTATAAATTTTATCTGACAAGTACCTCATCATATTTTTCACCACCTTTGACAAGAACGGAATAATACGTCTTCTCAGTTGCTCCATTTCCGGTTGGAGCTTCGACCTCATCAATGAAAGCAACTCGTAGTGATGGGTTTCTGTGTAATTTACAAGTCAGATGGGTTGGAGCAAGCTTACTATGTAGGTATAGAGCATTAGCTTCTGTACATTATCATGAGATCGAGGATATTCTGATAGCGGCTTTTGTCTTTTACATCCTTTGACGTCTTTTGCATGCCATAGACTTGACATGAGACAACATAGGTGAATTTGATATCAGCAATAGCTTGTGCCATTTCAATACCAGATTGCAACTCTTGATAGGATTCTATTGATCTGTATCGGTCAAATTTAGCTACAAAAAATAAACGCGTAATCAAACATACAATGATAGACATGGATTTGAAAAAGGAAAACATGAAAACATTAATCTTACCAGGATCTTTGGTATCTTGAAGGCATTGGATTTCAAGTGCCTTCCTGTAGTACATCATTCCTCTCACTAGCAAAGTAAAAAAAAGTAGTTCAAGAAAAAAAGTCAAAACAAAGAAGTTAGAGAACAAGTTATATTTTGATGAACCACAGGATTGCATTAGTCATTTTACCTGTTCTGGTGAGCGTTTGACCCCTATAAGATGCCCAAAGACAGATATCATTCATACTGTCTTTAAGTTCTTCTTCATCTTTCGGTTTAAACTCTATCCGCTCAAGGAAGTTCCTAAATTCATCTATGGACACACAAGAGTCATGGTGAATCATTTCCTAACAGCAGAAATAACTATCTCACACAGTTTTATGTCTAGCATCTGCAAAATACCTGGATATATTTTCCGTAGGTAGAACAGTATTGATATACCATCCTCATTTTTCTTATGAAGATCTTCTGGGGAAAAGAGCACCTCCTCTTTGAAGTATGGAGTTAAAACACTGGTGCAAAAGCAGAGAAGCAATTAAAAAACAATCAGAATAAGGTAATGAAATCCTCTTTTAAGAAAGTGTTATAATGTGAAGGAATGATTTGGCATAAATATGCTAGCTCTGAAAGCTATTGCTGACTTCTGAAAACAGTTTCAAACTGAGTGCCAAGAAGGCAAAGAGCCAAAAAAACCTTGATAACATTAAGTGATGCAAAAAAAGGGAGTCCATGCGAGCTAGGTTGCCTACCTGAAGGACATCATGCTACGGACAGGTGGTGCCCTTGGCATTTTCATAAAAAGCGAGTTTGCAAAAAAGGTGATCCTACGCCGAGCTTCCAAGTTCGTTGGTACATATATGGCAGATTCCTTTGTTGTCAACAACAATTGAAGCCTAATGCACTGTTCACATAGAATATCACCACATAACATACTGCTCCTAACTAGTAAACAATATTGCTAAAAGTGTAACTACAGAAAAGGTTTCTCCAGGAACCAGACCTTCTCCCTCCAAGCAACATGCTTCAACGAGTCCAGATTTAAATCTGCAAACAGTTGTTTTGGGCCCTCGTCCTTCAAGACACTGCAAGAGGGACGGGGAGAGAGAGAGATCAGAGACTAAGTATCTATTTATCTGCTCATGTCAAAATACAACTTACCCTTGCCCATTTTTCATAATATCCTGTGTGATAATTTCCATTATATCCTGCAACAGATTGGCAATCTGTGTGTTTTTCTTTACAGGATCATTCTCATCATATTCCTTCTGCAAATGGAACAAACATTTTTTTTGGAAATGTAAAAGGAGCATTTAGTACAGAAAATATATTTATTTAAGAAACGAAAAGGACTAGGAGTTACTAGTATGGTGGTACCAGTAGATTTAGCAATTTATCAAACTTAGCACTTAGCTGAGGAAGCTCATCCAATCGGAATTCTTTCACGAGTGATTTCCGGCGGATGCTATCTTGTATGCTGTCACATATTCTATCAACAACACTGTAGCAACGGTGAAATGCAATACCAACAAAATAAGTTAGCCAAATTACAAAAAAACAAGCATCACTTGAGATAGGGGTAGGGGGGGGGTGCGCAAAGAAAAGATGGCTTACTTCTTATCACTTTGTTCAACTATAATGCTGTAAAGGATATCTAATAATGTCTCGTAGCATTCTATTACAGCATACTCAGTATAAGGATCCTGCTTTATCCTCTTCATGAGTTCATCATCTTTTTTCTTGACACTCTTTGCCATGTCAAGTGCAATTGGAATCTAAATACAAGATATCTTGGCAATGAGCAGAACAGAATCCCACAGGGTTATATAGCAATAAAGTAGTGCATAATGTGTGTACCTTACTGGCAAGAAGGAAAGGAGGCCACTGAAAAACACTTGTTTCACTGCCAGATGATGGAACGACCAATAGATCTTTCTCCCTGTAGATAAAGAAAATACATCATTTTAAGGTGTGACACATTCAATATAAAAAATCAAGAAAATTTAACAGCAATGGGAACCTATTGCTTAGTAAGTCCTCTTCTCGCAATGAATTAATAAATGCATTCCATATGTCAGCAAACTTATCAAAGGGTGGGTTTTTGTCCTCCTGGTGGAAAAAGTTCATTAAATCCACTATTAAGTCCATTAGAACAATGGCATAAAAAGATGGATACAAGAAAAAATAGCACAACCACAACCAGACCTCATCTTGTTTCAAGTGACTACCATGATTAGGTACAAGTTTTTTGCCGAATGCTCTTGGAATTGCCTCAAACCTTGATCTTAACATCCCAAGGGTTCGTATCTTCATGGTAAACATTATGCAAATTTTAAGATCAGTAAATATAGAATGTCAGCTCTCCAAGGGTACACTTAGTCTCCAGGTACCAACCTCACCCAAGCGGCTGAATGCACCATGTACTCCACCATATATTGTGGAGAAAATGGCATACCATATTTGCGTGTCCATGAAGTATACCTGCATGGAAATTCAAATTAGGGGCAAAATCTCCCCCCCTCCTCACACCACCCCCAAGAAAAAACCTACATACCATGACAATCGGAGCCCATACAGTAACCACAACACCTAAATTATGCCGCACTGTGAAAATCAAGCATCTTCTCAGTGCTACAGACTATGCATAGGAATAAGATATAAATAATAATATGCTAGAATACAAAAAATTAACTTACAGTTTGGGAAGAATTCATGCCACTCGTAAGGTGGCCTTTCCAGTGACATGATTATCCTGGTAGGTTCAACTAGAGGCGCAATCTGCCAATGGTAAATGAGCATCGAAAATCTCAGTAATCATTGCACGTTTAAAGATATACTCCCTCCATTCCAAATTGTAAGTCGTTCTAGCTTTTCTAAATACATAGCTTTTACTATGTATCTAGACATAATGCATATCTAGATGCATAGAAAAAGTTCTGTACCTAGAAAAGCCAAAATGACTTACAATTTGGAATGGAGGGAGTAGAAGATTAAACTCTATTAAGTAACAAATGGGTTACACAAAGCAATGGAAATTTTCGAATCAGGATTTTATAGAAAATTGTCCAGGTGTGGCAGTGTAATCTAATGTCAAAGAGATGCTAGAATCAAAGCACATTCTAACAATAAAGAGAATTAACATAATATAAGTTGAAGTTACAATCTTTGTGATTTTAGTGCTATGATATTGCAAGCAACATGCTGTTGGAAATAATCCTGTGTGTCTAGGTGCATGCTAGTGTCTAGGTTCATAGCATTTACTTTTTTTTTTAATTTCAGCATGGAGTAGTAGGCTGGTTAGTTGGGTGATGTTCTGCATTAATTAGGAGGATGTCACAACCATGATTGTAGCTCTTGGCTGCCCATATATGTGAGAGAAAAACAGAAAAGGCTAAGTCATTTCCAGCCACCAAAACCATTGTGCTCGTGTGAATTCTTGGGTATCCTGTAAAAGGCATATTTGCCTTTCACATGCTACCAATAGTAAAAAAAATATAGTATTTTTTTATACCAACCTCAACATAATAACTGAAGGCGAGCTTGCATATAAGCAGTAGAATCCAGAACGTTGTGTACCTGGTTTTATGTAAACAAAAATAGTATTAGATACAGATGGTAAGAATGAAAAGAATAGGTGACAAGAAAATGTGATCCTTACTTAAGAAGTGAGCAAGTGTCTTCATACATGCCTCGAGCAACATATAACTTTGGCTGATTAAAAAACAAAATTTGTGAGATGTTACGTATAAACAGTTCTGCTAAGAACTTATGTACATCAATATAGTTATAAATATACAAAACCTTACCTGGGTCCACCATAAGAGAAACCTAATAATGCGAGCATTTGAGCGCTCTAAGGCCCGTCGAATTGGTAGAAACATGAAAAACAGGGCACTGAATATGTTTGGTAACATGTAAAGGGCAACAGCATAATTATAAATTGTTTCATTCTGCAAATTTATCCAATTGCTGACGAACTTCACAAGGCCTGTGGGATTTTGAATAGAGCTTGAGTATGTAGTAGGAAGAATTATCAACCAGGCAACAGCTACAGCAAACTTCAGGATATATCGTATCCTTTGTGAGCACTCCAGGCTCTTCCAAGCCTTCCAATTGAGAATTATCTCTAGCGTGGCTGAAAAGGTTTAAAGACCAATTTTAAAAATTGTGTTGCATTTGAAGCAAGGGCCACAGCAGCAGCAGATAGTATTAAGACTCCGCATACAAGTCAAAATTAACAAAAACTTGGTTAAATAATGCAGTATGAGAAAAAAATAAGGTAAAAAATGCAGAAAGCCCCTAGAGTCAAATTAAGTTTGTACCTTGAAGGAAGTTGAGGAATGCTGCTGTTATGAAGATTGTTAATACATTTTTGAAAACTTCTGGTTCAAATATAGAAGAAAGTAACCCAGAAGGGCTCCAGGCAATAATTACCATGGCCTTCAAGAGAAGAAAAACAGATTATGCGGCACACTGGAAAAATGAATACAAAAACTTCTGTGCAGAACAAAGGTAATCATTACCTGGAAAGCCAATATAAAGAAGGCCCACATACGATCAAAACTTCTGAATAGATGCAAAAATGTACGAACTTCAACAAAATTTGTTTTTGACGCCCTTCTTCTGCTAATCACGTGACCGTGTTGCTGTAGAAACAGCTAAAGTTAGTTCCATCATAACACCATATATACTTTTCTGATCAAATTTCCTTCAGCAACAGGCATATTAACTCAGGCATAAGTAATTGCATCTTAATCTATGTTTCTCTGTTCCTTTATCTAGTTACGCATATTTTGAGGAGCTTATACCGTCAATAAGAAGCAATCACTATATGTCATCTGAAAAGCATGACACAACATTACAACAATGCCAAAGAAGGGACTTTTTATTGCAAAATGTGTTGCATGGCCTGGGATTCCTTTTTAATATATAAGCAATCAGATCATCAAAAGTAGGCATATAAAAATCACTTGATATGTCATCCTTTAAAAGATGTATTATTCTTTACATATAAACTCAATTAAATCTGATCAAATCAACTGGTTTGCCAATGTGTTTCTACCCCAGTTTTATTTGTCACTTCCAACTACTGTGCCTTTTCACTTCGTGAAATTCTTCACATTGTTAATGTGATAGATTGGCTGGCCATATTTTCTCATATAGAAATCACGTTAAGCCCCATCAAAATAACAGACTTTTCCAAGTTATGGTGGTGATTGGGATGAACCAAAAAAAAAGGCACGATAGAAAAACTAGGAAAGTGCATGATGCACTGTTCCAAAAATTCTAATGGATGTAGTAAATATAATGGCATCTCTAATGTAGAGTGTTTTAACAGAATAAGCAGTTAAGCACTGGAGCATGCACTACTTAGCTACTTGGTTGGTTGGTTCTCTTGGAGAAATTCAATCAGGATTTTTTTGGGTCATATGTATTAAACTACACATGAATGTTTGCGATTTCCAGAATAGTGCACAACGTCCACTCCTATCTTCTCAATTACATTGTCAGATTGTACAAGATCGAAAAGTGATTCATGCATCCTATTTCAAGGACAACTGTTAGAGTATATCACGACTAGGAAGGGGCGGATCCATGTTGATGATAGGGGTACGGCCTCATCCATGAAAAAACGGAAAAACAGTGATTATTATCAACTTTTCACCATATACGCACCCCTATGGTAAAAATTTATGTACCCACAAGGCAAGCAAAGCACACCCCCTCGAATTTGCTCTAGCTCCGCCCTAGCATAGAGTTATTTGGGATTACGATCCCGCCCAATTCTATTCCCCCTACAACTACCAGCAGCATACTGATGATCCAATGCAGATTCCTGGGAGGTGCAGTTGGCATGTCTTTCCAGACTGGGGATCCCTCTGTTGGTGAACACTGGACACTCCTGTGTGAGAAACAAAGCTAGTAGACATTGCAGGAAACCATGATGCGTTCAGCATGCGCCTCAAAGACTTCGAGAAGAAATCAGTCCCTAACATAGTGCCCCATCATCAGCTGGGATTTTCCGAAACCCTACAGATCTACCTCTTATTTCCACCATCTGAAGGCAAACTCAACAAGCCTTTGGCCACCAATATATAGCGTCACAAGAAATACCACCCTCCACTTTTCATGCCACCCAAGCATGAGCATCATTAGGTCCAGGAATAGAGTGTGTGAAACCCAATACACCTCTATGACAAGCTGGAGTGCCTACATATGACGCCATGGGATGGTTCAAATGCGGCAAACAATTCTTCCGGACTATGGAGATTATTTCACTGGCATCATACCATTTGAAGGTGACAGCCAACAGCGGTGCTACCAGCTGGAACACAATGCAGGCATGGTGGCACACAGACCACGCCTTAAGGATTCTGTCCGTTTCCACTCAAGGCCTTCAATACGGATTATGAGTAATGGGTTGGCATAGCTCGTTGGCCCATATGTATGACAGGAACTGTGGAGTACCAAGAGAGGTTCGTTTCTCCTAACAGAAAAGTGTGTGTGTTGGGGGGTATTCTGGGCCAAACTGGAACACGCCCTTTGCATCAACGTGGAGTTAGCCAGGGCTCATGAGAGGTGCCTAATGCAACATGGCATTACTTGAAGCATAACTCAAGGGTGAGCTGTCTTGTGAGGGGACAAATGCTATGCCCAAGAGAGTCCTAAAAGACTATAGCTGGCAATTTTTTATTTTTGATCATTTATGATACTGAATAAATATCAATAGATTAACACGGAATAGTAAGCCTATTTAATTTGAAGACATAAATATTGAAATTATTTTATATAAACTTCATAGTCAAATTTAAGAAAAAAAATGATTTGTTCAAATTTAAAATTTCACTTTTGGGGGTACGGAGGGAGTAGATGAACTAACATGGACAGATACATTAGGATACAGACGCACTATTATTCTTTTTGTTGTCTAGGCCTTAAGTCAAGTGCATAAAGGATGAGAGGGAGCAGCTCTTGGTGAAGGAGGATGAGATCAGACATAGATGGCAAGAGTATTTTGATAAATTGTTCAATGGTGAGAACAAGAACACCACCGTTCAGCTGGACGACTCGTTTGATGAACACTAACAGGCGCTTTATGCGGAGGATTCAAGAATCGGAGGTCAGAGAAGCCTTGAAAAGGATGAAAGGGGGCAAAGCGATGGACCCTGATGGTATCCCAATGAAGGTGTGGAGATGTCTCAGGGATATAGCTATAGTATGGCTAACCAAGATGTTCAACAATATTTTTCGATCGAACAAGATGCCTGAGGAGTGGAGAAGAAGCATATTGGTACCAATCTATAAGAACAAGGGAGATATCCAAAGTTGTACTAATTATCGGGGAATTAAGTTGATGAGCCACACTATGAAGTTATGGGAGAGAGTCATCGAGCAGCACCTGCGAGGAACGACGCAGATATCAACAAACCAATTTGGTTTCATGCCTGCAAGGTCAACCACAGAAGCAATCTTCTTAATAAGGCAGGTTATGGAGCGGTTTAGAGAGCAGAAGAAGGACCTTCACTTGGTTTTCATTGACTTGGAGAAGGCTTATGACAAGAAACCAAGAAATGTTATGTGGTGGTCTTTAGACAAACATAAAGTCCCATCAAAGTATGCGACCCTCATCAAGGACATGTACAACAATGTTGTGACTAGTGTTCGAACAAACGATGGTAACACAGATTACTTCCCGATTAAAATTGGATTTCATCAAGGGTCAGCCTTAAGCCCGTATCTCTTTGCCTTGGTAATGGATGAGGTTACCAGGAACATACAAGGGGATATCCCTTGGTGTATGTTGTTCACTGATGATGTAGTGTTAGTGGACGAAAGCCAGGAGGGAGTAAATAGGAAAATAGAGTTATGGCGGCAGACCCTTGAGTCTAAATGTTTTAGATTGAGCAGAACTAAAATCGAATACATGAGATGCGACTTTGGTGGAGTTGTACAGGAGGAGGGAGATGTGAGTTTGGAAGGTCAAGTAGTGCATAAGAAGGATACCTTTCGGTATGTGGAATCGATGCTACAGAGGGATGGAAATATTGATGCGGACATTAACCATAGAATCTAAACAGGGTGGATCAAGTGGCGACAAGCTTCTGGCATTCTCTATGACAAGAGGGTACCACAAAAGCTAAAAGACAAGTTCTATAGAACAGCGATTAGACCGGCTATGTTGTATGGAGCAAAATGTTGGCCTACAAAGATTCAACATGTTCAACAACTGAGTGTTGCAGAAATACGTATGTTGCGATGGATTTGCGGTCACACAAGAATGGACCGAGTTCGGAACGATGATATACATAATCGCCTAGAGGTAGCACCAATTGAAGAAAAACTTATCCAACATCGGTTGAGATAGGTTAGCCATGTACAAAGGAGACCTCCAGAGGCACCAGTGCATTGTGGAGTCCTAAGCCAAGCTAATAATATGAGGAGAGGTAGAGGAATACCAAAATTGACATGGGGAGAGGCAATAAAAAGATATTTGAAAGCTTGGGATATACCTAGAGATCTATGTTTGAATAGAAGTACATGAAAAGCAGCTATTGAAGTGCCTGAACCGTGACTTGGGGCTCTTGGTGGGTTTCAACTCTAGCCTACCCCAACTTGCTTGGGACTGAAAGGCTATGTTGTTGTTGTCGTCGTCGTCTAGGCCTTAAGTCAGTCAGTTGAGATAAGGGTTGATATGATTAGTTTTACATCCATTCTTAGTTAAGGTTGCTAGGCACTGTCTCTACGGAAACCATTGTGATCAATTATGTGAAGATTAAACCACAAATACCCTCCTCATGTCTCCCTTTCTATAGACTGATGTATCCATCTGTTTGCCCTATACTGCAGGCTGCTTGTCTTCAAGATGCTCCTAACCAATCAAATCCGTCTCTCCAATCCGTTTCGTACTTACCCTCCCCAATCAAACAGTACTGTGAGGGGATCCATAATGCATGTATTCATATGATGCAACTTCTCTATAGTGAGATTTGCATCTATTGAGAAACTTCTGCATCATTATTCCAATACTTGAAGTGAGTATTAGATGTATTCTGTGGAGATGCTTACTTGCCTAACCTAAAAGGTGTTGCTTACACATTAAACAAAAAACAGAACTGCACAATACAGCTCTAGTTTTTAGGGTGGAAATCCTGTTCATAAGCTAAACCACGACGCAGTTAACAATTAACATAACTAATGTAAAAATTATTTGGACCAGATTGTAATGGACAGATGAACTGAAAGCTTCGTGGAAGAAGACAATACCCAGTCAAAAGTTCTAGAACGAAGTAGTCTTTTCTAAACTCGACATAGGACAATCCATACATAAGCCAGAGAACTGAAGATGTGTGCCATGTGTGGAATGTGAATTACAGTTCTTGAATCTGATGTTAAATAATGTGTTGAAAAACAGAAACAATCTGTTGTTCTCATGCCAAACTGCCAAGAGTGCATGCTCAACAAAAATCAAAATAATGCAAATAATTAGTGAGTGACCTCAGTTTCATTCTTGGCTCTGGTCTCCGCAAAAAAGTCAGCTGTTGGATCCATTGGCCATCCAAGTTTTTTGAAGCATTTTTTTGACCTGAAAATGTGGAAGGCTCATCAAAGAAACTGACAACAAAAGATTGTTTGCTTTATTTTTTTCCAGAACTTGCTAATAAACCCTCCTTTTCATGATATATGTCCTTATTTTCTTTGATGTGTTTCAAAAGAAAATGGAGCAATTAATAATTTTTTTCCTATTTATTCCCTATCAATGATAGGGTGTACCCGGTGTTGAAAGCTCCCATACGAGGTGTGCACTGGGAAAGGAAATTTCTAGGTGGCCTTACTCTTGTTTATTTTGCAAGGATACTAATTGAAACCCAGGCCGTCCAGGAGACGAGTGGAGAAACTCAACCACTGCAACAATGCCTGCCTTTCTCTGATAGATAGATTTGAACAGTAAATGAAAGGCGGAGGATCTCTTTTCTTTTTCTTTTTATTTCTCGAACTACGCAGGAGAGCTACGTGTCATTTCATTAAGGTAGGAAAAGATAGTACACGAGTCCAGAAGGACCCAAACCCGGGTACAGGAACGAACACACACAACCCAACTCAGGAAAAAAAAAGGCTAGATTAGTGCCACCAGCTAGTGACCACAAGGCCTAAGAACCAAGGGCCAGCAACCTGGGCAGGAGCTCTTGGAGCTTCGAAGCCCCTGCAGAACACCAGAGGCCCCCTTCCACGCTCACTGCCCTAAGCAGGAACACCAGAGAAACCACTGGTGGCAGTGGGCGGCACAGAGGTGCCACCATTGGCAGCAGGAGGCGGGCCAGAGAGCGGCACATGGAAGTTTGATTGCGTGATAATCAAACAAATGTGGCTTAGTATAGCTGACATTGGTACAAATTTTGAGTTGGTAGGGAGATGTTGGCTGAGTAATAAAGTTTCTGGGAGTCAATATGTTTAGTTGTGCAGTTTTATGGGGTTTATGGAAATTAAAAAACTATATTTGTTTTCAAGATAGAAGATGGAAAGAGGTGAGCGCCTTGTTGGGGAAGACCTAGGGGGTTGGTGAAAAGTTGAAAAGTCTTGTGTCCAGCAGACTACCTCAACAGTCTGGACTTTGGCTTGGAGAAGCTGCGCTCCTTGCAAGCCAACTTGGGCAGCTTACTGGTTGAACATGGGTATGGATGAAGATATGATAATCTTCTTGGTTGAAAACAAGGATAAATGCGAGGCTGATCCACCAGTCAAATTACTGAAACTTATGGAGCAGGGTTGAACTGACTTGAAGAAGCTGTTTGTTGGAGAAAAGGAGCTTTTGTTCAGTGCTTGAATGTTTTGAGATGTAATAGCTTTTAGGTGTGGTTGCCTTTGGTGTTCTGGACTGTCTTTTTGGTGCTACAGTGTGTTTGTAACATTAAGACAGTGTGTTCAATTGTGCTGTTTTAGCATGGGCTAATTAATTGCTCTTTTTGATAGGGTCGACATGCCACCTTTTCCTTCCTCACCTTGGGTTCAACCAGTGTTATAGAAAGCACTGTTAATAGAATAGCAGCTATAGGATGAGCAGAAGTAGAGTAGCTGGAGTCTAGGACACTGTTTTTTTTGAAGCAAACTGGCTTAATAAAATCCCAACGAAGTACGTCGGGCTCATTAAGGACATGTACAACAATGTTGTGACTAGTGTTCGAACAAGCGATGGAGACACAGATGACTTCCCGATTAGGATAAGACTACATCAATGGTTAGCTTTGAGCCCTTATCTGTTTGCCTTAGTGATGGATGAGGTCGCAAGGGACATACAAGGGGACATCCTTGGTGTATGTTTTTCGCGGACGATGTAGTGCTAGTTGATGAAAGTCGGACAGGAGTGAATCAGAAACTGGAGTTATGGCGGGAGACTTTGGAGTCCAAAGGTTTTCGACTCAGTAGAACTAAAACTGAGTATATGAGATGTGACTTCGGCACTACTACTCGGGAGGAGGAAGATATTAGTTTGGAAGGTCAAGTAGTGCCTAGGAAGGATACATTTCGATATTTATGATTAATGCTACAGAGAGACAGGGATATTGATGAAGATGTTAGCCATAGAATCAAAGCAGGGTAGATGAAGTGGCGTCAAGCATCTGGTGTCCTATGTGACAAAAGGGTACCACAGAAGCTAAAAGGCAAGTTTTATAGGACGGCGATTAAACCTGCTATGTTGTATGGTGTAGAATATTGGCCTACGAAAAGACGACATGTTCAACAGATAAGTGTCACGGACATGCGTATGTTGCGTTGGATTTACGGTCATACAAGAGGGGGTCAAGTTCCGAACGATGATCAGCCCGTTCGTTTGGCTGTGGCTTGTCGTAAACGATCGTAAATTTCCAGCCGGAACAGTATTTTTCTCTCACACAAACCAGCCAGCAATACTTCTTCACGAACCAGCAACGAAACAAACCAGCCAACCGAACAGGCTCGATATACGTGATAGATTAGGGGTAGCACCAATTGAAGAAAAGCTTGTCCAACACCGGTTGAGATGGTTTGGACATGTCCAACGGAGACCTCTAGAGGCACCGGTGCGTAGTGGAATCCTAAGCCAGGATAGTAACGTGAAGAGAGGCAGAGGAAGACCGAAGTTGACTTAGGTAGAGGCAATAAAAGGAGACTTGAAAGGATGGAATATACCCAAAGACTTAGCCTTAGATAGGAGTGCTTGGAAAATAGCTATTCACGTGCCTGAACCTTGATTGCTTCTGCTGGGTTTCAACTCTAGCCTACCCCAACTTGTTTGGGACTTGGCTTTGTTGTTGTTGTTGTAGTATAGCAAAAGCAATGTATTTCTAGACATAGTGTATATCTAAATGCATAGCAAAAGCTATGTATCTAGAAAAGTTAAAACGTCTTATAATTTGGAACGGAAGGAGTAGATAGCATATGCATACATATATATACATACATATAATCATGTTTGTACATTGCTACTGCTGCTGAGCTGACTAACCTGCTACTAACCAGTATAGGACCAAATTGCTGCAGTCTGTTGAATACAGCTGCTACTGACCTGATCAGCAGCAGGACAAAACAAAATTGGCTGGTAGTACGCTGCAGACATGAAACTTACTAGCTAAGGAAGGTCTGCCGACCTCCATATACCAACCTATGCTAAATACTATCTCGTCAAGTAAAAGACACAAAGGATTATATCTAACTAGCACTAGGAGCTAGGCAGGCAGTGGACTGCTGCCTATCTCCTAATCACAGCATAGGCAGCTGTTTTGTTTTGTTTTTACGGTGTGGGAGAGAGACAGAGAGCTGTTTTCTGAATTAGTGGTTTCAACATTTCTTACTTTTTTCCTGTGCTAAGGAACACAGATGCAAGTATGAAGAAGGAATTACCACATTTCAAAAAAGAAGAGAAGGAATTACCAAAAGTATTCATTCAAGTCGTCGTAGTTTCTCCACATTGAGTGGCTCACTGTACCACGTTTGCTCCTTGCAGCTTCCTTTTGCATCAGTTGAAAATTCAAGCAAAGAACATTATAAACGATAAGAGAATTTAGCTCTATTTTTTTCGAACGAGAATTCAGCTCTATAGTATTATCATTTAAAAATAACACTGAGAAGTTGTCACTTTAATAGCATTGAGAGTCTGCACAGAACGTTATAAAACTAAACAGTGCCGGCTTTTTATGATATCAAAGTGAACCAAAACATTTAGTGTTATTTTTTTTCCAAAATCTGTGTTATTTTGATGCTATAAAACCTTAAAAACCCTGACAGTTAATAAACAACGGCAAAGTTCAAACTCAACCCATGAGGATGTAGTCATACGTACAAGTGAGTTACAGTTAGCTGTACACAAAAATTACATTTAACAAAAACATATGAGAAAATACCTTCTGCATAACCCTATAGATGGGTTGAATTACTAGCTGCAGAAATGCATCGTCACTCCCCTCTCGCTGGAATGGTGGCTCAAATGATCCTTCGCTTCTATTAGATATTATGTCATGTAAATCTCTTGCCATCTACATTGTGAATCCAAGGCAAAAAAGATTATTAATGAGTTAGCACATGTTTAGACATGAACAATGGCATTGGCCCCTAGGTCATTTATGAGGAAATGAATGTTATTGCCATTCCATTTTTTAAGGTTTAAAGATGAGTGTTTCATGAAAAATATTAAAAATGTCATACAAAGATGCTCTTGCATTAACTTCATGGTACTAGATTACTAGACAGTATGCCTGCAACTTCTTTTGTATACGTCACTCTTACATATTTTCTTGAAGTTTATGCTAATTTGTATTGTTAAGCTAAGTATATTATTAGTTGTAAATAGCTAACATGGCCCATGTCACTGTATATATACATCAGTTTGAGAGAGGTTGATGTCTCTCTCAAAGTTTAACATGGCATCAGGGCTACGGTTCTTCTAGATCCATATTCTCTCTAGCTAAAGCTGTGTATCTAGCCCATATCACTATGTATGTATATTACTCTATAACTCTACTGAATCTCGCCTAGGCGTTGAGGCGTACCCCAGGCGCCGCAGGAAGCCAGAGGGTTTTAGTTACACCATAATGCCTAGGCATTGCCTAGAAGGCGCCTAGGCATCCAGGCGTACCCCCAGCGCCACAGGACGCTGCAACGCCTCAAAAACTCTCTCCTGAAGTTTAACAGTATTCAATTCACACACATAGTGTCTTGTTATATTGATAGACTTAATGTTCTCTAGATGCTTACATGCTGCCTAAAGACATCAATACCGTTTTGCATCAGGTGGTAAATTATTGTCTGGACTGGTCCCTTGTTGACATGTATCTGTGTTGTGGACTCCTTCATTGGGCAGCAGTATAATAGGAAGAAGAAGAAAGGTTCGGCTGCCTCTAGTGGCTAGGATTAGTCCGAGCTAGCTAAGATTAGAATATGCAGGAATAATAGGAGTCCAAGCGCTAGCTAGAACATGCAGGAATAATAAGAGTACCTCAGCCGCTCATGTGGGTATTATAACCACTTGTGCGGCTGGGCATTAGGATCAAGCAGAAGAAGAGTTGTCATGTTCAGAGCTCTTCTGCTGCTGCCATTGCTAGGATCAGCTAGTGTAATCTCCTCTCCAGTTCATCAATCAAGTGCCCAATTCTCTGGCCATATCATCTGGTATCAGAGCCCTCTCGATCCTCTCGCCTGCCATGGGTGACGATCTCAAGTCCACTCTGGACGCTATCCTCGCCAAGCTCTCCTCCATCGAGAACGAGATGACGACGATCAAGGGTGACCAGAGCCGCCTCAACGTGGCCGTCAACCGGCTGCAGTCGGACCACCTCTCCTCCGGTGGCTCCCACAGCGGCAAGGACACTGGCCACGGCGCTCCTCCACCTCCGTCTCCACGCGAGCACGGCAAGCACAAACTCTGGTTTCCGCGCTACGACGGCAGCGCCGATCCAGTGACCTGGCTCCACAAGGGAGCAGTTCTTTCGTGCCGATCGAACGGCGGATGACGAGCGGTTGTGGCTCGCCACCTTCTACATGGAAGGTGCTGCCCAGGACTGGTACTACCGCCTGGAGCAGAACCACAGCGCTCCCACGTGGCCAGACTTCATTGACAAGGTGCAGCGGCCGTTCAGAACACCGGCATCATTGCCTTCTTCCCCACCAGCGACGGCTCAGTCTGCTATGCCAGCAGCCGCCACATCTCCCCAAAGAAGATCGCCAACAGCTTCACCTCCACTGACAATTGCGGCTACACCAACCACTTCCCCACCACCTCCACCAATGGTTGTTGCCGCACTGACAACGTCGCCACTGCCTCCACCATCAGCGCCATCCCCACCTGTGATTACTCCTCCGGTCACCTTTGTGCCAGCCATGGTAAAGGAGAAGCACCAGGCAATTGCATGTGCAGCGTTGATGTCCACACAACCAATGCAGATGCAGGCATCCTGCTTGGTCCTCGCCGCCTCATCGGCAATGCCTGCAACACTTGGAGCCCTCGCAACGCCACCCGTAGTGATGGCATCCGCACCGCCAAGATTGAAGCCGTCGGACAAGGTTGGCGGAATCCACAGGCCTCCAAACCCCTTCACTCACCACCATGGATGTACGCGTTCTCCGCAACATCGCTGCATCCAGGGGCTCCCAAGCTCACGTCCCAACCGATGGCGTCTCCGTGGTTGTGGCTGTCTCCACGTACCACCGACATGCACTCCATCTCTGGCGAACTCTCTGTCCTCATTGTCTGCACCACCGAAGCGGGTGTTCTCCCCAGTCTTGGGCACCACACCGCCACTGTCCTCTACATCAGCAGCCTTGCCAACAGCAACTCTGTCAATTGTGGCGACACCCACGACATCAGCGCCGTCTTTGCAGCTGGCGACACCCACGACATCAGTGCTGTCTTTACAGAAGCTAGATGTGCCACCGTATCCGACATTGTTGCCATGTTCGTTAGTTGTGGACATGCCTGCCTCATCAGCATTGGTTGCCTTTGTCGAACACATCCTGACGGCAGTGGCATCTCCTTCCCCTGCGACCACCATGGCACCACCAACGACACCAGCTGTAGCACCCCCACTGGCTGAATTGACTCTAGTGGCCCAATTTCAGACCTCATCTTCCATCATCGCCACGATTGTCTTCTTACAGCAAGGGTGCTTCATCACCTTCAGTATTGCTCAGCCCCAGTTCCGAGTAGGCCTACAGCTCGAGGACGAGCTGTTTCGAAAAGAGGGTAAGTGTTGTGGACTCCTTCATTGGGCAGCAGTATAATAGGAAGAAGAAGAAAGGTTCGGCTGACTCTAGTGGCTAGGATTAGTCCAAGCCAGCTAAGACTAGAACATGCAGGAATAATAGGAGTCCAAGCGCTAGCTAGAACATGCAGGAATAATAGGAGTACCTCAGCCGCTCATGTGGGTATTATAACCACTTGTGCAGCTGGGCATTAGGATCAAGCAGAAGAAGAGTTGTCATGTTCAGAGCCTCCCAGGGAGGGCGAACTAGCTCTTCTGCTGCTGCCATTGCTAGGATCAGCTACTCCAGTTCATCAATCAAGTGCCCAATTCTCTGGCCATATCAATCTGCCTTAGGGGGACACAAGAACAAACCATTATGCTTTGTGTCAATACTCTGACCCTTAGTAACAAAAATGCTTTCCCCTTTAACTTTCATAGATACTGAGAAAACCCATATGCATACTCAGAAGTTAACTGTATTATCAGGACTATCCAGTGGTGGCATAACATTCATATATGGACAGTACAGCATCATGTCATCATATGCAGACCAGTGCACCACAAACGGGTTTGTAAAACCAATATTATGAAGATCATAGACAGAGAGAGCATAAAAGCTGATAAAGCAACTTCATACGCCAGCACTGCATGTCACTATTATTTGAGATTTATGTATATCAAAGAAGGTTTACGTATGAGCTTGACACACACAAAAAAAGAACTGGACAAACTAAATTTTCAATGAGATATATCAAAGAAGAAACAGCTAATGACCTAAGGTCAAAACTCCACAAAATGAATGAACAAGCAAAGTATAATTATGTTGCAACTTACATGGTGGAAGATGTAGCAAAGACATTCAGGCATGAAGCGAACATTGGAAGCTTCACCCCATATCAGTAAATACAGTCCTATGTACAGAAGCTCTGGCTGTTGTGTGGAGGCATCCCTTGGGATTCTGTGATTTAAAGGTTCACATAGTAATTGAGGTACAGATTTTTTTTAAAAAAAAGATGCACATCCAACTGATGCATACTTACCTAATGTTTGACTCCAGATGCAAATATCGACACCAGGAGTTGTAATTATTGAAAATTTTATCCATCAAATATATCACCGTGTTACTATGTATCTGCAAAGGGTAAGTATATGCAAAAGAGCCCCTAAGAAGTTGAATTGATTCAATTAAACCAAAATAAGAAGTTTGAAATGACTTTTTACCATGTGTTGAACATGTCTCTCACTATGGTGGGAAGTACCCTGTTGTCTCATGTCAATGTTTGCAAGGAGCAAAATCAAATGCTCCTTTTGATTCTCGACATTGCCTTTCTACAACAATAAAACAGAACATGACATTATGAATTTATTTTTCCCTAAATGCTTGTTACTCAAATGCACAGCACTGTAAAATCCATATGCATTTTTTCAAAAATGCACCTGCAAAGAAACTACAAACAAAATCTGAGATGCAACCCGATATCTGTTGCAGGTTGATATATGTAATTTCCATTTCCTTCTTAATATTTAGAAGATATAGAAAGACTTGAATTTCCAATCATACATGCAAGATTTGAATTTGATAAGGCAACACAGCACAGTCTAGAAAATGAAATCTCTTTGGTATTCATTTAGTTGGCACCTGAAATCCAAATGTTTGCCAAAGCCAATCAAGCAAGTCATGGACCACATGTCTGTCCATTTCATCAGGCACTGTTTTTCCATCAGAGCTTTGTGTTAATTCAATCCTTGGCATTGGAAGGTCAACCATCTGACGAAGGAGCTCCACTGCTGCTTTGATCTGTATTTTGCAAAGCGTGTGAAATTCGTACTACATGTGGTACTTTTTAAAGCAATGAAAGCAAAGTAAATGAAACTTAAGGTACATGACCTCAGGAATTTCCATTATTGGTTGTCTTGGAACAGAAATATTAAGGGGTAGAATATTGTACTGTGAGAAGGATGCTTTCTCCTTTTCAACCCCTTTAGCGTACTTATCATACTGAAAAGCAAAAGGTCAAAATAATGTTATTGCATGATATAGACAATGTGATTAAGATGAAATAGCATGTTGTACGGTGATGTATTAATTGGTTACAAAACCTCATGTTTGTCAGGTGTAACAGTTTTCAGAACATCATATAGGACGGATGCAATCTGATAGTGTCTAGCCATCTCCTCCCTAAGTCACTCAACAAAAAGTAAGTTAATAAAGTGAAGTATGATAATTTGTAAGATTGCTAATACAGCTAAACATTGACCACTCTTACGGTTTCCTCTTTTCCTGATCTTCCTCTAGATATTTTCTACAGTATTGCTCATAGAACTTTTGTATCTCCCTTGCATCAGTTGTAGCAAGCACGGGCTTTGTGTCTTGTTCATCCTGCCAGACAAAAAAGGGCAAACGTTAACAAACCAACTGTAATTTATTTTTGGCTGGATGGCAGAAAGAGTAGTTGACATAGCGATGCATTTAACTTTTTAGTGATGGACAATGCACATTGATTGGCACTACAGACAAATAATGTGTCAGGAAGTACTGAGACAAGCTACCACTGTGAGTAACACACAGAAGAAAAGGGTGCCAAATGGTGTATGGTCTGGCACCGGTTTTTCATGCAGGAAACACTTGACTCAGAGGGCTAATTGATTTCTTCAAAAACCACTCTAAGCTTTGACCAAGACACTTATGACTCAAGAAGTGTAAAGCTAGAAAGCAGGAATTCATTTAAAAAAAATATAGAACAAGAAGATACAAACAGAAGATGGCATCTTTGGTGTTTAGTAGGGTCCAGAGGAGCAGAAAAAACTGAGAAATGAAACCTCTTTTTAGACTTTCATCATCCAATTACCATGGTACCAATGCTAAGACAACATTCTGTTTATCGCGGCAGATACTAGATGGTTCAGTTTTGCAATGAGCCATGGACTGATGAGCATCGAGCATAAGCATACCTTTACAAGCCTATGCAAGAGGTATGTTTTGAATTGCCGAACTCCACGTCCACTTGAGTTTGGGTCCATAATATGAGCCTTCTCGAATGCAGTAAAGCGACCTTTGTTCAGAGAGCGACGACCAACAAGTCAAAACAACATAAGATAACTGGATGAAGTGATGAACTGATGATTTTTCCCCGCTGTTCAAGTAAGTGTCATGACAACACCCATGTGCGATACTCTTAATTAATAACCCATAAGCACCACAGCTACTGTCTAGTGTCTAGTACTTCAAAATAGGTGCGAGAGAGAAAGAGGGAGAGCTATGCAAACGCGCCCATACATAGGTAGGCGACGCGCGGGTTCTCCTCCTCGATCTCATTGGCGGCCCGGAGGATGGGTACAATGGGCGCGAGCGACGAGGGCACGAGCTCCTCCTCCACGACATCGACGCCGTCCTCGCCGGAGAATCCGTCCGGGCGCATGGTGTAGGCGCGCGTGGGCATCCGCGCCATCGTCCGCTGCCGCCCCGTTTGGGAGGTGGACCGCGGCGGCCCTGACGGGCCGGCGCCGCCGGCACTCGCCATTCCCGCCGATCCCGACGGCGCGAGTTGGTGTTGCCGCGCGCAAGCGCAGGGTGATGAAGTTGCTGGTGCTGACTGACTAGTGCGGCAGCGGCGGGGAAAGTGGTGGTGGCGAGGAAGCGAGGTGAGCAAGGGAGAGGAGCTGGGGAAGGCATCTTCGTCTTAAGAGAGGGGAGGCAGGAGGAGGAGGGCTCGAGGCGGGCGGCAGTGGTGGTGCTGGTGCTGAGTGTGGAGCGCGCTTTTTCGCTTTGTGGCTTTGGCCGCCGCTTTGGCTTTCGGGCGATGAGATGAGATGGCAACGTTGCTTTTTCGGTGGGTGGGGGGGGCGCGGGGGCGGGGTGAGATGGATGTGCCTGGTGCAGGGTTTTGGAATTCGGATGGCCGGCGACTGAAGCAAGGAATTTGCGACGCCGGCACCGCCACGGGAGTCTCGGATTCCGGGGGCCCCGCGGTCGGAGGGCGGCGTAGCACTGGCATCTGGCAACGGGCCGATGGAGTCGGAGGGGACTCGGCTCTGTTCGGCTGACCTCGATTAAAGCCGGCGGGTCGTTTTTGACTAATTTGCTGTGAGAAAAAATATTATTCCGACTGAAACGTAAATAGTGTTTTTTGAGGAGGACTAGCCGACTCCAGCCAGCCGAACGAAGCCCGAGGTCCTCATCTCGAGATCCATTGCAGATCCAATGTCTTCGACGTAGTATTTCCATAGAAGACATATTTTAAATGTTAGGAGAGGTATAATCTAAATCTGAATATATTCTCTCGTGGAGATCCATTTATAGAAAGAGTTTTTTTTAGGTCTTGTTGTTGAAGACAACTAAAAATAAATATTGAATCATTCGTCTGTAACGTTATCCAAATATGGAATAGGTCTTGTGTTTTGGATAACGGTTGTTGGAGACAGTCTAAGCAAGACAAAATTGGCTCTGGAGACTAAAAGTGACCACGGTTTCCTGCTGAATATCTAAAATGAAGCGATTTCCTAGAGGACACTTTAGTTTTTGACAAATTTATTGGTGGGGACAATAAAATATCTTTTTTACCCTTGCCCCTTTCTTGTACATTGGTCCGGCCGTTTTACTTATTTAGGGAAAATGGTGTTCTTGCCCCTTACATAGATGTGCAATTGTGATTTTGCCCTTGTTTTTCTAACTTTGTGATTTTGCTCTTCATTGTTCACAAGTCAACGTGATTTTGGCCCTGGTCTTTGCGAATTTGCCCCTGTTTTAACCGTTGACTAGGTGCAAAATCACGTTGACTTGTGAACAGTGAAGGGCAAAATCACAAAATTAGAAAAATAAAGGCAAAATCATAATTGCACATCAAAATAGGGCAAGAGCCCTTTTACTTATCGTTCTTGAAGCTCTGCGTGATTTGCAGCGGTCACCTCATGCAGCTGGATTAAACTGGCGGGCTACGCGGATGCAAAACAGTATACCGCTTATTCCAACGAGGAGTACCACAACCATGTCAAAGACGTCCACGGCTGCAGAGTGCAGAGACAAAAAAAAAAAAAGCTCCATCATCATCACACTGACAGGAGTAGCCGACAACAAGGTAATAAATAGCGGCAGCAGCGGCCGCAACAGCGGTAACGTCTTGTTGCCGCTACCGCTACGAGGTAATGCTCTGAACTTCACAGTCTGGAACTTTACGACCGCAATTCTGAATAGCAAGCGATATTGCGGGCCGCAATTGCACGTAGCAGGCCGCAGTAGCGTGGAAGCAAATAATATGTTTCTTTGCAAACTCTTAATGTGATGATTTAATGCGTGGAACGCCACGTTTGTTTTATTAATTTAAATATGTGAGACATCAGTTCTTTGAGTGCAATTAAATATCTATTTATACTCATTATTTATGATATATGTATTTAAAATTATGTGAGATTATCGAGTGACGCTATTGGAACTTATCATCCGTAATATCGCCCACTATACGCAATCCGTTACCTCGACGCCAATCCGCTATCAACCCGCTATACGCTATTTATTACCTTGTAGACGACCACCGCCGCGTCGTCGTGGAGCAACGACAGCTCCCTCCCTTCCTTCAGCGCTGGGACCACTTGCCTCCCTTCCTTTAGCGCTGGGACCACTTGTGCCGACTCGTTCAGGCACCGGGAGCACTCTGCCGCGGTGTGGTTGGCCACGCACGTACCCAGCGTCGCGGTCAACGTGTTGTCGTAGAACCAGCAGCGCCATGCGTCTTCGCAGGCCGTGGACGCATTGGTGTCCGTGTACGAGAGGAAGCAGCCGGCACGCCAGACCGCCCCGCGGCGTCTGAGGCATCCATCGGCGACGTCCTGGGCGGCGGCGGACAAGCATTCCAGGCAGTCGCCGGGGACGAAGCCATCGAAGCTGGAGCAGAACGCGCGTGGGAAGGCGCGGTCGTCGCTGACGGCCCTGCTGGACTGCGCGGTTGCGACGAAGCCCTTGGGCGCGGGCACGGCGGTCGCCGAAAGCGCGCCGAGGAGCGCCAGGATGTTGCCGCGGAACGCGCTGAGGTTGTTAGAGCGCACCGCACCCGCGGGGGCCGTAGCGCAGTCGAGGATAGGCGGGATGTGGCTGCTCGTGCCTGTCGGCTCCAGCTTCAAAAACCAGAGGTTAATATCCAAATATTAATTTCTGGCTTTTGAGTCAGAAGAAAAGGGTAGGGACAAAAATGACATTTTATGGTGCTAGCTTGTTAAGTTTCCATAAACTTATTAGCACCATGTAGATCCATATCTGCAAAAATCCCGTTAACTTAATTGCTTTTCTTCACGCTATATCTTGTCTACCATATTTACTTTATCCGTCCAAAATAACTGATGTTCTATGTGAATATAAAACAAATCCAAATATTTATAATACTGAATAAGTATTATTAAAAATTATCGTCAAATATATTTCATATTATACATATTTGTGACATAAATGATAAATATTGATGTCCCTTGTTTATAAGTTTATTAATCAAATCTAAAATAGTTTGACTTAGAATAAAATTAAAACATCAGTTTATTCTAGGAAGCTAAAAGTACATATATAAAATTGAATTAATGAAACATCCTTAGGACCTTGTCTGGAAATCTATTCCCTCCCAAATCCCAATATACTCGTACGTGGATTGTAGAGTAGGAAATGAACTAAACACCACTTTCCCTCTCCCATCCCTCCAGTACACATGCATCAGTGGGACTGTGGTAGCGGGACTGTGGTAGCCATTTTGTTTCGTCTTGGAGACACCAGACAAGTAGTAGTTGGATTTAGGGGCCTGACAAGGTTAAATTAACTAAACACACATCCTAAGCTGGGAATGCGAAGGACCAGTAGTTATAGGTTCTAGTCAGGCGATCTCTTCCTTCTTTCCGAAGGGTGCAGGGGATGTTCGGTCTCACACTCAACATGCCGCTTTTCGAAAGGAAGACGAATATGACAATGTTTCATTGGACGCTTGTTCTCTGTTTCGAAAAAGGAGGTTCCGTGGGCCCCGTTAAAGCTACCACGATCATGTTAAAAAAACTGAGCACAGGTGCCCGCGCCAGTGGCACCACCTTATAAAGCGTTCTATTATAAAAACCAAGTTGTACTGGCCTTGGCGCCTTGCCATTGGTTTTGTCCTAGTACGCACGGTCAATCTTAAAAATTGTTATTAATCAGGGGCCATTTGTAAGGCTGTGTTTATTTGGTGAATTTTGGAAATTTAGTTACTGTAGCACTTTCGTTTTTATTTGTCAATTAATGTTCAATCATGGACTAATTAGGCTCAAAACGTTCGTCTCGTAATTTCCAACCAAACTGTGCAATTAGTTTTTTTTCGTCTACATTTAATGCTCCATGCACGTATCGCAAGATTCGATGTGATGGCTACTGCAGCACTTTTTGGAAAACTTTTTGGGAACTAAACAAGCCCTAAGCCAATATATGAAAAATTTAACATTACTGATTACCCATGTTGAAATTATCATGGATCTCAAAACAATTATCGATCCAGAAAGGATACAATTCTAACGTAATATCAGACTTATACCTTCATGAGTTTGATCAAGTATACTATCATGTATCATACTAAATATATATTATTAGAGTTAATATAGAATATATTTTCATAGTATTTCTATTTAGAGTCATAAATATTGATACATACTCACTCTGTCCCTAAATAAATAGTTCTTAGAGTTGTCTTAAGTCAAACTTTTTCAACTTTGACCGAATTTCTAGAAAAAACCCATCAAGATTTATGACATCAAATTAGCATGATTAGATATACCATAAAATATATTTTCATAATGTTCTCATGTTATGTCGTAAATATTGTTACTCATTCCTATAAATGTATCAAACTTAAGATAGTTTGACTTGCACGGATTCTATAAATTAATTTATTTAGAGATAGAGGGAGTAATACTTTCTTAAACTTAATTAAATTTAAGATAATTTAACTCAGGCCTAACCTATGTCCTGTCTCGGACAACATCATAAATATCGATACCTGGCAGGACTAGCAGTTCCTTTCCTTATTTCGCATTCTTCGTCGGCTCATTTCCTTGCACAAGAAGCGATGATGATTGTAGCCAGGACAAGTCAACTATAGGATTTTTTTGGCACAACTACGACTCTGTGCGTGTTTAGCTGGGGAAAAAGTTAGGAATTTGGCTACCGTAGCTCTTTCGTTTTTATTTGGTAATTAGTGTTCAATTATGGACTAATTAGGTTCAAAACGTTCGTTTCGCGGTTTTCAACCAAACTGTGTAATTAATTTTTTTCGTCTATATTTAATGCTCCATGCACGTATCGCAAAATTCGATGTAATGGCTCCTATAGCACTTTTTGGGAAGTTTTTTTTAACTAAACACGGGTTTCTTAGACCAAGGTTAGATTTGCAACTTATAAACTAAACTAAAATGCTTTAAATATTTCTATTTAGTGCAAACTACTACTAATAGATTCTTCTAAACTTTTAATTTGGACGTACCTTCAGTTCTCACTTATCAGATCCACAGATTTCTTAGAGTCGGAGTTCTATCGAACATGACGTTTCATCAATGCAAGTCATTGCCAATGGTTTGAGGGAAGGTCAAGGAGTGGTTGTGGTGAGTAGTGGAGTACATGAAGACGGCATCCTAGTATTTCCCTCCAATCTCTATGAGAAATGGTTTATCTAGACATGCCAATCCCTCTAATTCTTGTGAAAAATAGTTTACACAAACGTGGTTTAAATGAGCCTATGATATTTGAGGATGAAAAGGAAAGGGACTGAGCTCGAGTTGGGCTGCAGGCCTAAATCGGTTGGACCGACCGATGAAGTCCGAAAAGGGCATGTCCAAGTGATGAGCACTGTTGCTTAAAAAAAAAGAAGGTGATCAGCACTGATGGGTGGCCCTGGGTGGTGGGAATGGCAGCTTTTTTTGGTTTATTCTATTATTACTTGCTTTTCATAGGGGTTTTCTGCTGGCTTTATTCTCTCTATATGAGATGCATTATTCTTAGTATTCTCTTCTTCCTCCGCTCTATTTGGTTTTTCTTCCTAGGCCTTGTTCAGTTCTTCTCCCTGAATATTACTTCCTATCACATCGAATATTTGACACATATATGGAGTATTAAATATAGACTAAAAAATTAACTAATTACACAGATCGTGACTAATTTAGCGAGACGAATTTTTTAAGTCTAATTAGTCCATGATTTGACAAGGTGATGCTACAGTAACATGTGCTAAAGATAGATTAATTAGGCTTAATAAATTTATCTCGTGGATTACTGATGACTTCTATAATTTATTTTATTATTACTATCCAAATATTTTCATATGACACCTCGATATGACACCCGATGTGAAATATCTAAACTTTACTCCTGAATTTAAATACCATCCATCAGCCTGGGCGTTTTTTCACCGAAAACCGAAAACCGAACCGAACCGAACCGAAACCGAACCGAATAGTAGGTAGTTCGGTTTTTGATTCGATTTCGTTTCAATTCCGTGAATTTCGGTTATCGGCTTGGCCGGTTTCAAGTCCATACCGGCCAACGCTAAACTTCATTGGCGCTGAGGCCTGTCGGCATTGTGGCGCTATCCGGCGACTTCTCATTGGCGGCCGGCCAGCGCCAACCCACAAAGTGACTGTGCACCGGCCCATCACGGCACCACCCATGGCAAACACCGCACCACTTGACCAGCCGCCGGTCTTCACTCTTCACTTCCTAACCCTAACCCTTCACTCCCCAGTTCGGCAGTTCCCCACTTCCCCGCATCGAATCGAGATCGACGAATCGAGTCGCACCGGCAGTAACCCTAACCCTTCACTCCCCAGTTCCCCAGTTCCCCGCATCGAATCGACGAATCCAGTCGCACCAGCACCGCATTCCGCACGCACTCCGCAGAGCCTCGCACTCTCGCTCCTAACCCTAACCCTTCGGAGGCACGGCAGGCGGCGCACCCAGCAGTTCAGGGCGCCAGGCGGCCAGCAGCGGAGGCGCCACCGTCGACCGTCGTCAAGCTCCTCAACCACGGCCGCAAGAACAGAGCAGTCCTCCAATGTAAGTCTTTAGTTCTTCTTGTTCTTGCTTAATGCCTAATAGATCCAGATGCCTGTTGGTTGCTTTGTGACAAAGCGAGTTGATTAGTTAGTTAGTTTGTACCCTGACTAAGTACCTAGATGGCTGGTTTTGTTTTGATGTCTTGTAGATGGGGACACCAAGAAAAGCGATGGCGCATCTAAATGTTCAAGTGAATGAGAATGAAGTTGTAAATGGGGAGAATGACAAGCAGGATGAGCAGCAGCAGTCCAAGGATGGAGAGGAAGTGGGAGATGAGGGAAGCAAGAAAAGGAAGCCCATGGTTCCAAGATCGGATGTTTGGGAACACTTCAACAAGATCAAACTTGATAATGGGGAGAAGAGAGCCAAGTGCAAATCATGACAAGCAACTCATTGTGTGACACAAAGTTAAATGGTACGTCCTCCATGAAGGCTCATTTGAAAATCTGCAAGAAGAATCCTCACAAACCTGTAGTAGATAATCAAGGTACTTTACAACTACAACCTAGCCCTAGCAATAGTAGTGTTGGTACTCTATCTACTTGGAAATTTGATCCGAGGAGTTAAGGAGGAGTTTTCTTTGAGATGATAATAGAAGATGAGCAACCTTTTGTGTTATCTGAACGTTACGGCCTTAGAAAGTTTATGTCAAAAGCATGCCCACGTTTTGTTTTGCCATCTAGAAGAACAATCACTAGAGTCTGTGTGAAAGTGTTTGATGATGAGAGAGAAAACTTAGGAAATTTTTGAAAGACAAGCTGTGAAAGAGTTAGCGACAATGTATTACATGGATGGCTAAGAACAGTCATAATTACATGTGTGTTACACATTTTGTTGACAATGAATGGAATTTGCACAAAAAAAATTATTGGTTTTTTCTTAGTTAAGGGCCATAGGGGGAGGACATTGGGAAATCTTTAGAGAATTGCTTGGCTGATTGGGGAATTGAGAATGTTTTTACAATAGCGATGAACAATGCTAGTGCAAACAACACCGCAATTAAGTACATGCAGAGGGTCTGAATGAATCAAAAGGTGTGTTCTTTGAAGGAGAGTACCTTCATATGAGGTGTTATGCACATATTATCAACACGATAGTAGGTGATGAAATTTGAAAGAATTTGATAGATCAATCGCTTCGTGTTCGGTGTTTCGGACTCTTTATTAAGTATGTTAGAGTGGACCATCTAGGTTGGTAAAGTTCAAGAAATGTGCCCGAGTTAGCAAAGGTTCGGACCAAAGCATTTTTCAACCTAGGCGTCGCACTAGGTGGAACTCAACTTACGATGCTACAAACCGCACAAGAGTATGAAAAGGCCTTTGAAAGGTATAGTGATGAAGACCCATACTATAGTCTAGAGTTAGAGAGTGAGAAAGCACTGGGAGTTCCAATCAAATCAGATTGGGAAAAGGCAAGGAAAATGGCTCAATTTCTTAAATACTTCTATGAGTGACCCTCCGTGTCTCTCGCCACAAGTCGCCCAACATCTCACACATACTTTCATGAGATTGTTGATGTTTTGGTTCTGCTTTGAGACAATGGTGTCATAGTGAAGATACATTATGTAAGGAAATGGGCGGAAAATGTTAGTGAAGTATTACAAATATTGGGGAGAGAAGTATGGAGAAAGGCCGGGGGATAGAGAGAAGAGAGGAGAGAAAGACAAGGGGATCAATTGCTTAACATTGTTATTTTTTTACGTGTTGGTATTGATCCTCGGTTCAAACTTTCTAACTATGTCAAGATGGCAACTATGGTAATGTTTGGTGATGAAATAGGTCGAGAAACTGTGGGCAACAAATCAACACTTATTTTAGTGCTTTGTTTGAGGAGTGAGAGAATTGTATGCTCCATCTCCATGTGACAAGGTGCCTCTTTGAAACTCAAGAAACACCGTAATTTTGTTACGGATTGATGAGCTCCATAATTGCACAACAGATGAGCAATAAGGGAGTGCCAATACCACTTTGTGAAGTCTGAACTAGACAAGTACCTTTCAGAAGATAATGAGGAGCTTAGTAAAAGTTTTGACATTATGAAATGGTGGAAGAACAATGCTACTAGATTTCCCATAATGTCTCGTATGGCCCGTGATCTTCTGGCAATTCCTATCTCAACAAAGTAGCCTCTCGAGTCACCTTGATTCGGTGGAAGAACACTTGATGATTTTAGGACATCACTCACACCAACAATGGTTGAGCGGCTCGTTTGTACAAATGATTGGCTTCGTGGAAACAACTACATCAGTGTTGAAGAGGACACAGACGAATTGGCCAAGCTTGAGGAAGGTAATTTTTAATGCTAAGTCTAAGTTGTTATCATTTCTATTATTTATCTTAATAGCTTATTGCAGTAACATGACTACACTTATTGTAGAAATTGGTGCCCTGGCCATTTCTAAGGATAGCACTACTGCTACTGCATCTTTATAATGGTAAGTTGGTTAGCTGGACGCCTGGATTACAGGTGATGCACTGCTACTGCTGGACCCTTTTGAGGATCATAGAAAATGCACTACTACTGCTACTGCATCTTGATATAGTGCTATCTTGATATAGCACTACTGCATCTTGATATAGTGATAGTGCTATCTGAGTATCTTGATATACTGCATCTTGATATAGTGCCCTGGTGCTTTGCCAACAATCTGGCTGGACACATCCTGGTGGCTCGAAGTCTATTGCTGGTGTAGTGGTGTTTGGTTTCTATTGGATATTGCTGTTGTTGATGCAAGCTGGCTGCCGGCTGGAAGTCTGGAACCTGCATTGATTTCCTGTTGTTTATCCAATTTGTAAATTTGATTTGAGCATTGAACTGCAAGTTTGTAATATTTGATTTGAGCATTGAATTGTTAAGCTTGTAACAGTCTTGAGTATTCAAACAATGTCTGTTGTTCTAAATTGAGTAAATTCTGTCAAGAATGAACTGCTGTCAGTTTAGCCTGTCTGTTGTTTTATTTGCATCGGTTTTTTCGGTTTTAACCGAAAAACCGAACTAAAAAACCGAACCGAAATTGGTCGGTTTTTATAATTTCAACAAACCGATCGGGGGTCATTTACTGAAAAACCGAAATTTTGAAAAACCGAAAAACCGAACCGAACCGTCGGTTAAAACCGAACGCCCAGGCTGAACCATCCAGTACCGTTGCGTTCATCTCTACAGTAGGACTGTAGTAGTAGTCATTCTACCTGGCCAGTGGCCACTTTGCAGGACGTCGGCGCCTTACGGCGTGCTGTGCTGTGGCGTGTGAGCTCGACGAAGCATAATCTCGAGGAGGAGGAGGAGGATCAGCAGCTGGCTTAAAGTTCCTTGTTTCCGGACACATGGGCGCTTTGTTAAGTACCATCCTCAAATCTTCGATCGACAGTAAACTTTAGCCCTCAAGCAAAGGAGCCCGGACCAATGCAAATTGGAATTCGTAACGATATGCTGTACATAACATTCAAATTTGCGGTACGGTCGGATGACGTTTGAATGCATGAATTTCTACTAATATTACTGCAGTAAGCACACGATCGATACAGCAGGCCGGGTTTGTCCAGAATCATCGTTACTGCCAAAAAATTTCCATGCTGAGTTATTGCTAGCCAAAGCATGGCCGCCTAACGTGTCACTTGTGACGACACCACTGATCTTTACAAGATTTGATTCGAGTTTTGACTCTGACGGCCAGGATCAAGATCAGCGTCAGGTTCGTCACGTACGTGTGTGTACATCGGTGCGTGTCGATTAATTTTCCAGTAAAATAAGTCCCGGTTTAATTCCTAAAAATTTTCACCCTAAATTATCACATCGAATTTTACGGCACATGCACGGAGTATTAAATATAGACGAAAAAAAATTAATTGCACAGTTTGGTTGAAAATCACGAGACAAATATTTTAAGACTAATTAATCCATAATTAGCCATAAATGTTACAATAACTAACATGCGTTAATGATGGATTAATTAGGGTTAATAAATTCGCCTCGCAGTTTACACGCGAGCTATGTAATTAGTTTTTTTATTAGTATCTGAAAACCCATTCCGACATCCCGAAATATCCGATGTGACATCGAAATATTTTCATTTCGTGAACTAAACACAGCCTAAGATTATATGCACTTGGGGGTTGATGCAGTGACCGTGCAGTAAAAATAAGCCTTTGTTTAGTTGGGTGAATTTAGATTTTGGGGCTATTGTAGCACGTTCGTTTTTATTTGACAAATAGTGTTCAAACATGGACTAATTAGGCTCAAAACGTTCGTTTCGTAATTTCCCATCAAACTGTGCAATTAGTTTTTATTTTCGTCTACATTTAATACTCTATGCATGAGCCGCAAACATTCGATGTGACAGATACTATAGCAACTTTTTGGACTTTAAGGTCCAACTAAACAAGGCGTAAACAATTGATGCTCTAACACTGACAGGTCTGTCTCGTACGTACACCATGCTCAGCAAGGAATATTAGCCCCGACGGAGTTGCAGAAACCAGAAGGCACGCGTATGCATGCAGCTAGTTTGATCTCTCGCTCTGTGGTGAGTGACTGAGTGCTGACCGACACACAACAAAGTTCCTTGGAGTACTACCTCTTAATTGGAGAAATCGATATTCTTGATTTGGATTAATTCGCTCTGTCCACGGCAGGCATGGGGGTGGTTTAACCCTAGAATAGATTAGCAAAAGAACGGTGGAAGAGGTTGAAGAGTTAGAATGCTCTTAAATTCTTATAATGAGGTGCAAGAATGGTGGAAGAAGTTGGAGATGAACTGCCTGAAGAAAAGCTCCAGGAGCCCTATTACGATAGAGAATGAGTAAAAATGGTAGAGGATCAGAATGTCTGGAGAGGGTGCCCTAACTATCCTTATATAGAGTTCGGGGCCAGGGCACATACAAAGGAGGATGTTCTCATGACCAAAGGGTCGTGAGCCTGTGGGAGGTCCTAGCTAACTTGGCTTGCAAGCTACGCCGCCTTATGGTGCACGTCCGGATGTGTTTGTCGTCACGGTCCTGTGGCCACATCGTGGCATGGTGGTGTGGTGGCGCTACTGTGCCGGCCGTGGCGGCACTGTAGGCACGTTGGAGGTTCGCTAGTTGTCCTGTGCGATGTGGTCAACGCCATGGTCTTCGTCATTGTCTCCTAGTTTCCTGGGGGTCATACAGGAGTTTGTAGCTGCCCCTAGGTTGTCGGTCGCCTTGTTGGCCAGAGGAGCTAAGGGCCACGATCCCGATCATTGGGGTCATGGCTTTCACCAGTCTGGATGGCCTCTAAGTTAAGGCCTTCATCGTGGATCACATCCCGTAGTGAGTGGAATCGTACATGCGTCTTGTCGGGCCGTATTTGGCTGGTGGTCATCGTACCAGTCGACACCGCCTTGGGCGGTGTTGTCTTGTTTGAGCTGCGTGGCGCAGGGATGGTGTCTGACCGGACCAAGGTGACTACTATCCCCTCGGTCCTTGCGGGGTCAGTGCAGCGTGCCTGTTCTTGTCAGAGCAGGCACGCTTGGGGCCTGACCTCTCCTCGTTCCCTCCGGGGGGTCGTGACGGGGGAGAGATCGTGCGCCTTTCGAGCGTCGTGCGGCTAAGGCGAGAGGAATGGGTCGTGGCTGACCCCGGCCTTAGCGTCTGGCCTGGTTCGCTTGGCTTAACTGGGCCTTGGTCATTCGGGCCTTCGCTAGCTAAGATCTTGTGGGCTGCGTGGCTTGCTAACTAATCGATGCCTTGAGGCACCGGGGTTATGACCCCGACAGTTGCCCCCGAGTGCTTTTGCGATCACGAAGTAATCGTGAAAGCGCTGAGATGCGTGTGCATTATGCATGGGTCCGTAGTCGTGGCCTATTCAAGCTTCGTTGCTCAACCCCTTGCGGGTGGGTGTATTCAATGTGGTAGGTGGCCGTTGTGTTTTGCCCCGTTAGAACATCCTAACGATGTGGTACGTGACCGCTGAGCTCTGCCGTGTCAGTGTGCTGCGTATCGGGGTTCGTAACCTAGGCAGGGCCGAGTGGTCTCGTCGACGCTGTACCGGTCCTGCCTTTGGGAGGGTCTTGTTTACCCAACTTCACACGGGCATCTGACTTTGGCTTTGACCTCCCGAGGTTCACCACGCGGCGCGGGGGTCTCAGGCTGAGGTCCGCCTTTGGGCTTATAAATATGGACTTCCCTTCCGTTCGAGCTACTTATGGCTGCAACTACAAACCGTCCCCTTCCTTCCTGCTGAGAGAGTGTGGAAATGAGAGGAATTTGTAGAGCACCGTGGCCGATGGTCGGCAGCGCCCTTCCAACGGCTGGTGCTAGAAGGTGACTTGTGAGCAGGGGAGGACGAGATGTTGTGGAGGCTAGCTCCGTGATCATGTGGCCTTGGTTTTACCTATGCCTAAGTGGCACGGGTATTCATGATGGTCGTTGATCAGGGGAAGGTTCGCCCCACTGCCGTGGGCCATCAGAGTGTGCAGGCAGTGAGTCAGTTTTCTAGCGAGAACGTTCGTCGCTCCCTGGCCGCTGAATGATGGACCTACGGCGTTGTTCGTCACTATGCCCGGTCGTGGCATCATGACGATGTGGCAAGATGTTCTGCGCCGGGGGCTGCTTCACTCTTCTCTTCTCCCTGTGTTCTTCAGTTTTGGGGGGTCGCGATGCTGCAAGGGGCCTTTAAGGTGTTCATTTCCACCTTGTCCGACCGCGCTTGCAGCTCATACCCCCGGTGGCATCGTCCTTGAGGTGGTGTTGGGTTTTTCTCTTTCTTGTCTTCATGGTTTGGCCACGCGTGTAATGCCCGTACCTATGGAATATAATTTTTGAACTTTATATTCCTGCCTCAAGGTCATGCCGAGCCCCCGAGCCATGAGGTCCGGTTGCAGGGCATTGTTCCCAAAGTCGGGTCTTCTGTGCGGGTGGTCGACCTTCCTTCCTATGGGATGTAAAAGTCGCCCTCAGTGCGAAAGCCCTTGCTTCGTCTGTGCTTTGACCTATTTGGCCCAAGTCTCCCCGTTCGCTGATCGGGTTATGACCTCGTTCCCGAGCGGCAGTGTGATCACGGGTGTTTCGCTCTGGCCAAAAGTTGACACTCAGGCTTGAGCGGGCCTAGACCGTGCGCTCTTGGATCATGGTGAGGTTGTTATTGTACGGTGTTTGGCGTTGCCTCGTGAAGAGGGCATCGTCGCAAGCCCTAGGCACCCGAGTGACCATCCACGAGGGGTCATTGACCCCTGTTGGTCTATAAGTTTTAAGTCGTGAATCTGGGATCCTGGAAGGGGCTTTGTCATGGGGACTTAGCCTTGCTTGTTTCGGGATCCCCGGCAGCCTCGTGGGTCACTACGGCATGTTGAAAGGTCCTAATGGCTTAAGGAGTGTGAATAGCTTATTAAAAATTTCTACAACACTTAGCAAACCAGTTAGACAAATATGAGGCAAAACGAGTGTTGCGCTAGCCTACTAAAAATGCAAGCCAC